ACATCCCAGGGCCTTAACAGTCAGATGAAAAAAAATGAAGTCCCAAGAGGGGAGGTGTGGTAGGCTGGGCAACGTACCCCAAAATGTCCACATTTTAATTCACAGAACCTGGGAATGTGTTAGCATGTAGATCCATGCTAGGTACAAGCCCTGAGTCCTGCACCACCTCCCGGACCAGGACACAATTCTTGACTCCATGAACGTAGGGATTAAGTGCACTGCTGAAGCCACAAATACCCAGTTACTCAGCCGCAGGACATAGAAGGGGAAACAGACGGGGACACAGAGGCTATGTGCTGGCATCAGGACTCTGAGCTGCTGGGTCACGTGGCCATCCGGGGCTCTCTGCCCTTTCCCCGACTGAGGTGGCCTTGGCCTTCCTGCCCTTGTTTGCCAGGAGGTCCACCTCCAACCCAGAAATCTGACCATGCACCTCTTCAGGAGCTGAGGTGTCAAATTCCAGCCTCTGCACAAGCCACTCACTTTACCAAGAACTGAGAGGAGGACCTGGAGGGACAGTACAGAGGGAAAGGCACCTGCCTTGCACACAGCTGACCCTGGTTCAATCGCCAGCACCATATATGGTGTCCAGACCGTGCCAGGAGTGCCCCCCCCATGAACTGAGAAGCTGGAGGGACAGACAGCACAGGGGCTCAAGCCAGCCTGGCATACAGCCAACTTTGGTTCCACCCCCAGCACCACTAGGAGTCACCCCTGAGTGCAGAACCAAGAGCAGCCCTGAGATCTGCTGGGTGTGCCTCAAGCCCCAACCCTCCAAAAAAGAACTGAGGTCTATTGAGGCATCTGTACTGAGGTGAGGGCTGGATTCTGGGAACAAGGGGAGTCTGACCTTGCCTTGCAGCACTTAAGAGAAATTGCCCTGTTCACAGATGTCTGTCCACAAGGCCATACAAGCAAAGAGCAGTGGAACAAGTGAAAGCAAGCAAGCAGATATGGAAGTTGAAGGGCCCAGGAAGTCCTTGGCTCTGCAGACTGTTTCACAGGAACCCCTAACACCCTCAGGGTGCTTCCCACAGGGTAGGTTCCATTCAAGGGATTCTATTGCTCTACAGATACAGTCTATCCTCCAGTTTATGGATAAGGAGGCTTATCACCAGGATGGTCACAGGAGTGGGGCAGGGATGTGAAGCTGCTGTTGTCTCCAGAGCTACTTTGCCTCACTCGGCAGACAGCAGCAAGGACCCCATTCAGGCCCATGGGCTCACAGGGCGGGGCGGGGGTGGGGGGTGTCTCTTCCCTCCAATAACTTGAACAGCAGGCAAACCTGAGGTGAAAGGCTAGACTGTATGGCCTCCTGGGTTAGGACAGGGACTCCAAAGCTCAGGAGGAGACAGTGTGCCCCAGGAGGCCTGAGGCACAGCAGTGCTCTGGCAGCGTGGCTGAGCACAGCCCTTTCACCTCCTGGTGTCTGTCTTGCCCCCTGAGGTTCACATTAGCCACTGGGCTCTGAGAGCCCCTTTTGGCATTCTGCCGCAAATTCGAAGGGTCCCAAGCAGGAGCCCACTGTCCCTGGCCCCAACCATCCCCCCTGCTGAGGCCTCTCCTGATCCAAGGCTCTGTCTGCTAAGAGTTGTTTGTTGCCAGGTGCAGGCCCCCCAGAGAATCCCCTCCCATCAAAGAGGCGGGTGATGCAATCTGCCTGCAACTGCCTACCGCCTCACTCCCCAAGCCTGGTCCCTCCGCATCGAAAAAGAGTCCCCAAAAGCCCCACCCCTGCTTCTTGCCCCAGTTCTGGAGTCCAAGGGTCTGGGCACTCCAAGCCTGTTGGAGGTGGGGGAGTATTTGGGCCCTGGAGGGGATATAGGCACGGGATGGAGGTAGGCATGGGTCAGGGTACAAGGTCCCAAGACCCTGGTCCACAAGGCACCTTGGATGAATACCCCTGGGCTACACATCGAATAGGCAGGGAAGGACGAGTTGGGGAACAGAGCTACAGAGCCCAGTCAAGGTGCCTGGAGGGGCGGGGTGAGGAGTGGGGCTCCTTCAGAACAAGGGGGAAAGTATAGATGCCCGCTAATGGTCAGACAGAAAGGCACAGGGGCTGGAAACTGCATGTCCTACCTATCTAGGACGTGCATTTCCTGTCAGATAAAGTATTCAGTCAGGGCTGCAGTCAGCGCAGGGAGGTGCAGCCCAGGCTTTGCATAGGAGAGCCGGGGTTCAATCCCCTGCCCTCAACCCCTGCCCTCCAGCACTACATGGTCCCCCTGAGCATGGCTGGGTACAGTCTGAGAACCATAGCAGCACAGGGCACCAGCAGCATGGCATCCTCAGGCCCAGCATGAATGAACAGCCCCAGCTGGGAGAGAATCATTAGTCAGTGGGTCCCGAAACTTCTGAGCAAGACTTCCAAGCTCTCCTTTAGACACTTCACCAAGGGGCTGCCTGCATTCTTTCGGGCACTAATTTCCTTTCCTTTTGGCTTTCCTCCTCCCTCTCACTTAAGAAACCCACATTCTCCTTAGAATCTGTCCCCTTTCTCGATGGAACTATTTTACTTAATACATAAACAACAAAATTGTCATCTCAGTCTGTAAGGAAAAACCAAGTTAGGGACACTTCACAGAATACTTGCTGGACACCGAGAATCTGAGAAATTACAACACCAGGAAGCTAAAGGGCAACGGACTGTAACACGGCATCTGGAAAGGTTCCTGGAACCAATTGGGGCCTCAGGTCACATATAGTACATCCAAATAAAGTGTGGCATTCAGAAATATGGCAGTATTACATTTGTTCTTTAGGGGTGACATACACACCACAGCAATGTCAATGTCAGTGGGGAGAGTAGAGAAGGGTACATGGAAATGAAAATGTTGCACTACCATGGCAACTTCTATGCAAGTCAGAAATGATCCCCAACAAAATGGTCATTACAACCACGGTTGAAGATAGCACAGGGGTAAGGCACTTGCATCCAGGTGATGAAGGTTCAACCCCCAGCACTACATGGGGGTTCCAAAGCACCCCCAAGGGTCTCTCCTGAGCAGAGCCAAAAAATACTTCCAACAACCAACAGACGTGTGCCACCCCTTCCCTGAAGGGTAGACTGGAAAAACTATGGTTCATAACATACACAAGAGTATTTCTCAGCCATAAGAAAAGATAAATTGTACAATCAATTGTACAATCTGCTGTTACAGGGACCGATCTGGAGAGTGAAGTTAGAGAAACCGAGACCAAGACAGAATGAGCTCCCTCATATGTGGGATTATAGAAAAGTAAAAGAGCAGAGAAGCAGTACAGCAGTTGGGCACCTGCCTGCCTGTGGCTGATCCCAGTTCAATCCCTGGTATCCCACAGGGCGGCCTAAGTCCTGCCAGGAGAGATTCCTGAATAGAGCCAGAAGAAACCCCTAAGCACCACTGGATATGGCCCTCAAAACAAAAACTTAACAGTGGAATAACAAATGCCCAAAGGCAACAGGAACAAAGCACCAGAAAGGTGGTCTTCAGCATAACCCTTTGGGGGACAGGACAGGAAGGGAACACTACACAAAGAGAGCCTCGCAGGGGTAAGGGCAGTCAGTCCAGTGTTATGCATGAGAACCCATGGGCAACCAAGTCAAAAGATGGGGGGGAGTGCCCCTGGAGGGTGGGTTGGGGGGGCCCCCCTCCCCACTGGTGGAAGAAAGTGGACACAGGTGAAGGTGATTTGCTGAAACACTGTATTCCTGAAACCTAATCATGAATAACTTTGTGATTCATAGGGACTTATTAAAAACACAAACCCAGTCCCAGAGCAGAACCTGAAGCCTTTAAAGACTGGGGGTGGGTAAGATCGTCCCACCTCTTACCAATAATTCTCTGAACCCCACCACTTCAACCTCGACACTGAGAGGCCCAAGAGACCCAGTCCTTCAGTTTTAAACTGCTGGTCCGCATTGTAGACAATCACCCCGGGTTAAGAAGCCCTCTGCCGGGCTGGAGAGATAGCGCAGCGGGTAGGGCGTCTGCCCTGCATGCGGCTGACCCGGGTTTGATTCCCAACATCCCATATGGTCCCCTGAGCACAGCCAGGAGTAACCCCCCCCCCAAAAAAAAGCCCTCTGCAGCTCCGTTTTGTGCAATGGGGGTGGGGGGAGGGGCGGAGAGGCAGGGAGGAGGACCACTAGTGAACCCACAGTTATCCTGGCAGACCTAAATAGGCACTGCTCATCAATTGTCATCTTACCACGGAGCAAACTGGGCACCAGCAAGGAAAGGAAGCCGCTAATGTCTCAAGGGCAGTCCACGTTTGAACTCACAGTCTGACTCCAGAATAATGACCTTGAGCCCTTGAGCTACCTAGGTAACGTTGTGCCCCCCCACCCCCCCAAGGTAACATTGGACAAGTGCTCTCCCACTGTCTAAGCAGTTAAAAGCCTGGAGGCGCTGGGCGTCCATCAGTTGGAATGGGAGTTGGGGATAGAAGTGGACACCGTGGAGGAGAAACAGAAGATTTGGGTGCAGGATGAGACCGGGACGCGGAGCAGCGCCTCCGCCAGGCACGCAGGGGTCAGGCTGCGGTTTCAAAGGCGGCCGCTCCCTTTATCCGGGTCTCGGCTCCATCCGCCCGATTTCATTGACAAGGCCACCCAGCCGGCCACCGGCCCCCAGTACAACCCCGCCGGCACGCGACTGAATAAAGTTCCCGGACACCCGGCAACTTCGAGCCGTCTAAAACCGGTCCCCAGCTAGGAACTGCGGCTGAGAGGATGGAGAGGAGGCGGCCGAAAGCGCGGGGGAGGGGACGAGGCACGGACCGGCCGAGTCCCGGGATCCGGGACGGAAACAGGAGCTTCGGTCCGCGGGGAGCGAGGGGTGGAAGCCCCGGGTCGGATAGAGGGGTACCGGACCCCGAGCGCCGGGGAAGGGCTGGAGCCCCAGCGACTGGGACGATGCGGGGGAACCGGATGCCCGGGTCAGAGGCACCAACAAGACTGAGGAGTCGGGGTCGGGCGGCGGCTGCAGCAGCGTCCCGGGGGGCGGGGGGGGGGCAGCGCGGGGCGGGGCGCGGAAGGATCCGGGCACGCCGCGCTGTGCCGCCCTCGGTATATCTGCCCGGGTCCCGCCGGGCCGCCTCATTCCCCAGCCTCCGCTCACCACATCTTCTCACGCGACCGCGCCGCCGCCGCGCCTTCTGCGTCAGTCCCCGCCATGGCCCTGTAGGCGCGAACTCCCCCTACGTGCCCCCGGCCCAACGCCGCGCTCACCGCGTCTGCGCTCCTCTACTACCGCCTTCCCCTTTCAGCCGAGGCCGCCGCCGCCTCTTCTTTGCGTAGCCATGGAGTGAGTAACCGCTCGGGCCGCCTTTTCCAACCGCCTTTCCCGCCCTTTCGAAGCTCGCCGCCCTCACGAGCGGGCTTGAGAGGGGGTGGGGAGACGGGAGTGAGGGATCACGGTCGCGCCGGCGCAGAAGAGGCCGAACGGCGGCGGTGTGCAGCCGAGCATGCGCACTCGGCTCAACGGGGCGGGCGGCGGGGGCGGGGGCGTCGCAGCGCTGAGCAGTAGTCTCACGAGGGGTTGTTGATTCTCCTGCTTCGGCGCGCGCTCTTCGCAAGGCGCATGCGCAGCACGCGTTCACGCATGCGCACTGATTCCCCAAAGGGGCGGGGTGAGCCCACTGACGGCGGAGCATGCGCTGAGCTTTCGGCCAGGACACCGCGTGGAGAAAGACGAGTTAGTCAGAACGCCACATTGCTCAGGCGCCGTACACTGCTTCCGTTCATTCACTCCCGCTGGGGCGGGACCTGGTTAGATTGACGAGTAGAGGGCGGGCTTTAGGGAGGGTGGAGCTAGCACTTGCGACATCGCGAGGGGTGGGGTTTGGAATTAGAGGTGTGGCTAGGCTGCCTTCACCAGGGATTAAGGCCGGAGAAAGAGGCGGAGCCTGGGATGGGGTGGGGTAAAGCAAACGGATGGAGCGGGATTTTTTGGAATAACGGGGGGAGGGGGGGGTCCCCATAGGGGCGCAGTTCCCCCTGGGAACTGGTTTGAGGTGGAAGTTAGGGAATGAAGAATAAACTTTTTTTTTTTTTTTTTTTGCTTTTTTTGGGTTACACACTGCGTTGCACAGGGGTTACTCCTGGCTCATGCACTCAAGAATTACTCCTGGTGGTGCTCGGGGGACCATATGGGATGCTGGAAATCGAACCTGGATTGGCAGTGTGTAAGGCAAATGCCCTACCCGCTGTGCTATCGCTCCAGTCCCCTATTTTATTTTTTTTAAACATTGTTATGAAAGGGCCGGAGTACAGCAGGTAGGAAGTTTGCCTTGCACCTGCCTAACTGGGTTCACTCTACAACATCCCGTATGATAACACGCCCCCCCACACACACCACCTCAACCCCAAGCACTGCCAGGAGTAATTCCTGAGCACCATTGGGTGTGGCCCAAAAAACAAAAGTAAGTAAAAATTTTAGAGAAAGGGGTGCAGCAAGAATAAAATGACCCTGAGATTCTTTTAATTTAAATGGAATAGTATGGGGGGGCGCCTATGGAAATTCCCCTGGGAGGTCCCATTAAGTTTCTATGCTGAAGTTATCAGGTCTAATGGGAATTCCTCTGGGAGTGGGGATGTTGGGGGATTAGTAGGAAGGGCCAAAGCTAGGCCTGGTTGGAGGGAATGAGACTCCCCAGGCATCTGGTAGTGTGTTGGTTCTCTTTCACTTTGGCAGATGGGTGCGTGTGGCCCTGACCCTCCCCTCTGTCTCCTACTTTCAGGTCCTCCACTCTCGCCTTGGTGTCTCTCTACACCCCACTGAGCAACTTGCCGAGTGTCCTCTCCACTGTTGGTGCCACCTGTCGCCTCTGTGATCATCCAGGCCCAGCATCTGCCCTGCAGCCATGTCTCTCCTGGCAACCCTGGGGCTGGAGCTGGACAGGGCCCTACTTCCAGCTAGTGGGCTGGGCTGGCTCGTAGACTATGGGAAACTCCCCCTGGCCCCTGCCCCCCTGGCTCCCTATGAGGTCCTCGGGGGAGCCCTGGAGGGCGGGCTTCCAGGGGGGGGAGAGCCCCTGGCAGGTAAGGCCTCGTCAAGAATGGAGGGGGAATAATGGTGGAGGATTGCTCATTCATTCATTCTCTAGCACTGAGACCCCTGGCTGTGCCAGGCCGAGGTTCAGGTGCTGGGGAAAACGCGTGGAATTAGACCCACATAATTTCCTTCAGCCTTTCTGGCCCTCACTCTGGAGAAGAGCTAGGCAGGGCACATTCCATGACAACATGCTGGGCAAAATGGGAAGCATTTGACACTAAGGACCCCACTCAGAGCAGATAGCCAGGAAGCCTTCCGCACACTGGTCATGTTTGGGCCAAAGCCTAAGTGGAAAGGTGTGAGTCACGAAAAAGACCCAGGCAGGGATGGGCTAGCAAGGTGGCGGGGTGGAGGAGGCCCAGCGGGAGCACCTCACAAGGAACGTGTGTCTCCCTGCAGGTGACGGCTTCTCTGACTGGATGACTGAGCGGGTTGACTTCACGGCCCTCCTCCCTCTGGAATCCCCCTTGCCCCCAGGTCCCCTGCCCCCCCAGTCCCCACCCCCCCCTGACCTGGAAGCCATGGCCTCCCTTCTTAAGAAGGAGCTGGAGCAGATGGAAGATTTGTTTCTCGACGCCCCCCTGCTCCCTCCCTCCTCCCCGCCGCCCCCAGTCCCCACCCTGCCCCTTCCACTCCCTCTGCCCACCTTTGACCTCCCACAGCCTCCCACCCTGGACACCCTTGATCTGTTGGCCATCTACTGCCGCGGTGAGGCTGGCCAGGGGGAGCCAACGCTGGCACCCATGCCTCCGCAACAGTCCCCTCCACCCCCACCACCCCAGCCCTCCCGCCCGGTCCCCTACCCACACCCTGCCACCATCCGTGGGGACCGGAAGCAAAAGAAGAGGGACCAGAACAAGTCGGCGGCTCTGAGGTACCGCCAGAGGAAGAGGGCAGAGGGTGAGGCCCTGGAGGGCGAGTGCCAGGGGCTGGAGGCCCGGAACCGGGAGCTGAGGGAGCGGGCCGAGTCGGTGGAGCGGGAGATTCAGTACGTGAAGGATCTGCTCATCGAGGTGTACAAGGCCCGGAGCCAGAGGGGTCGTAGCAGTTAGGAGTGCCGTCACTGCAGCCCTGCCCCCGCCACGCTCCTCCTCTGCCTTCAGCCCTGGCCCTGACTTCCTTCCGCAAAACCATCACCATCTCCTCCAACCATCTCCTCTCTACACCCCTTCACCACCGTCTCCTCCCTACACCCTCCACCACCATCTCCTCCCTACACCCTCCACCACCATCTCCTCTCTACACCCCTCCACCACCATCTTCTCCCTACACCCCTTCACCACCTTCTCCTCCCTACACCCCTCTACTCACACAGGGCTGAGGAATAGGCGGGCAGGAGGGAGTTTGGAAACACAGGTGAGGCCAGGGGCAAGAAGCCAGGGAGCTACCCAAGAGGAGCAGGAGAGGAGGGTGAGCTGAAACCAGGGAGGAGTGGGAGGAGATCAGGATCTTACAATAGGAGAGGAACAAGCCAGGTGACAGGGACCAGCTGTGGGGTAGGGTGGAGACCACAGAGCAGTGGTTCTCCAGGCGGGAGGGGGTGGGGGGCTGGGCAGGGCGGTAGTGTGAGTTTTCAGTTTTGCTGTGGGAGAAAATCAGTGTTTGGTGAAGGTGTTGGGGACAGACTACATCTAGACTGGGGCTGGGGGGAGGGTTGGGGGAGTTGTGAGCAGAAATAAAATGAAAATCTTCTGGCCTGTGTGTCTTGTATCAGAGAAGTCATGGGTTCACGGCAATAAAAATATTGGGCTAGAGGTGAGCCCTGAGGGCGCTGGAGTGTTAGGACAGCGGGGAGGGCGTTTGCCTTGCACATGGTCGAGCCAGGTTTGATCCCCGCCATCCCATATGGTTCCCCCAAAACCTGCCAGGATAATTCCTGAGTGCAGAGCCAGGAGCAACTCCTGAGCATCACCAGGGGTGACCCCAAAACAACCCCAAAGAGTTGGGCTAAAGCAATAGTACAGCAGGTAAGGCACCCACCTTGCACACAGCCGATCCAGGTTCTAGCCCTGGCACCATGTATAGAGCTCCAGCACGAGTGATCCTTGAGCACTGGCAACCCACCCCCACCCCCGAAATAATAATGCAAGGGTTCTGACCAGCATCCACATATCAAATGCAAGTGAAACGATGTGGAGCCCATATTATGTATCATGATCAGCAGTGTTTGGTTTCCAAGCGACGTCCTATCAGACTGGGCTCCCCAACCAACCCACAAGCCACAAACATTCGGCCTCAGCAGGACCTGGCCGCCAGGGGGCGCGCACCCCCCACCGAGACGGGCTTTGCTGAGACCACGCTTAAGTCCTATCTGTGATTTCTTCTGATCTGACTCCACAAGGATCTGCATCCTGCAACTAGGATCCCTGATGTTAGTCCAGGCCGAGCACAGAGGAGGCTCAGGCCATCTGGAGGGATACCCTAATCCTAAGACCCCCTGCCACCTTTTAGGGTCCCCAGCATGTGAAATGGTTCTGAGGGCCCCACCATGTCCTACCCGTTGCATGCCAGCATGGAACAGGACAGGCAAGAGCCTGAGTTCACAGTGTAGAATAGGTATGGGGGACTCAGGGTCAGGGTCTTATAGCCCACTCTGGGTGGAATCCATTCTGCTGTGTGACCTTGACAGCTCGCTTAGCCTCTCTGGGCTTCAATTTACTTCACTATAAAAAGTGGCCATTAACGGCCCAACTTCTCTACTGTTTCTTCGAGGATATGGCATCTGCTCAGATCCCTTGCTCAGGTCAAGAGGTTGAATGTGAGGGAAAGAAGCAAGTCCCCTCAGCCACTCAATTGTGGGTGATGCTGGTGGTGGGCCCCCAGGGCTCCTGTCCCCACACCTGGTCCACCCCTTCCAGTGCTCCAGCTGAAGGGCTCAGTCTCTCTCAGCCTGGGAGGACTGTGGGGAAGTCGCTGCAGAGTCCTTGCCTGAGAACTCCCAGTCTCAGCCTCCTGCCCTGCTTCTGGGGAGCTCTGGACTCCGGGCCCAGCCGGCCAGCAGAGGAGTGGCTATGAGCCCCACTGCCCAGAGGTACCAGTTCCCCAACAAGGCTGGATTCAGTCCTCTTGTTTTCTGGGATTTATGTGTGTGAGGGGCACACTTGGCAACGCTCAGGTGTACTCCTTGCTCTGCACTTAGAAATTACTCCTGGTGGTAGTCAAGGGACCAGATGGGATGTTGGGGAATCAAAGCTGGGTGGGCTATGTGCAAGGCAAGAGCCCTTGGCTATTGTTCCAACCCATTTTGGGCTTTTCTCTTGAGCCTCACCTTTCAGAGACTCACCAAGAGCATTCCCATACAGGCCAAGAGGCTCTGATATATATATATATATATATATATATATATATATATATATATATATATAAAATGTCTTTTTCAGGGCTAGACCCAGCTGTACTTGGGTTACTCCTGGCTGTGCACTTAGGGATCACCCAGGCAAACAGATATATATGCATATAAAACTAGGGGGCCAAAGAAGCAGGTAGAATAGTTTTCTTGCATGCAACCGATCTGGCTTTGATTCCTGGCACCCCATAGAGTCCCCAGAACTCCACCAAGAGTGAGTGCAGCTGGACGTGGTCTACACACAAAAACTATAACCTACACCACCAAAGATCAGTTGTCACAAAGACTCCTATGCCCATCCCTCCCACCCTCATCCCCTTTTCCCTCCAGTGACCACCATGGTTTGTGTCCTTGTAATTCATGCCACGTCAGCTGCTGAGAAGGTGGCATTCGTGAAGAACCTGACAGGACAAGGCCTCAAACAGTGACAATGACAAGGATATGACAAAGATGCTGGCTACACATGTCATCATAGCTGTCACTGTGACTCAGTTTCCTTCTGCTTGTTCATAGCTACATTTTCTATGATCAGTTTCCACTTATTTTTCTCCACTGGGGTCACTGGCCAAGTTTTTTAAAAGGCCCAGAAGAGGGCCGGAGCGATCATACAGTGGGGAGGGTGTTTGCCTCACATTGTGGCCAACACAAATTCGATCCCCAGCATCCCATATGAATCCAAGCACTGCCAGGAGTGACCCCTGAAAGCAGAGCCAGGAGGAACCCCTGAGCATCCTGGCTGTGACCCAAATTCACCCCCCCCCAAAAAAAAGCCCAGGAGAAGGGCTGGAGTTACAGGGGGTAAGATGCTTGATTTGTTTCCCACCCAACTCTAGGGATCACTCCAGGAACATCCCCTGAGCACTACCGTGCACACCCACCTAAATGCTAAGTGGAGACAGGGACGTGTCTCTATGCTGGAGCATGTGGCACACATGTATGAAGCTCCAGGCCCTCCTCTGAGTGTTCAGAGGCGTCATGTTTGGGAGACACGATTGAGAAGTGAGGACTTGGTAACGGACACAAAGGAAGCAGAACATCTCAGTGGCGGGCTGGGAGGAGTCTGTCCCACTTCTGCTTCCAGGCTTTTGATCAGCTCAGCAAAATGTCCCGTTTCCCTTGCTCAGCAACTTTATGGCCACCATATAATTGGTGGGGTCTCTCACCCCCACCTAGGGAGCCTGGCAGGCGCCCCGGCAACTTATCCGTAGGACTGAACCCTCAGGAGGATTCCCGGCGTCCACTCCAGTGACAGGTCAGAGATGAAAAGGTGTGGTGGCCAGCAGGGAAGGCACATGAAAGGCTGCATGCACACAGGCTTAGCACACAGGGCCCCAGGCACCAACTTAGCTCCACCCAGCTTCTTCAGAGCACAGAAATGGGAGCAACCCCCAAGCACCACCCAAAAGCAAATGAATACAAAGGGAAAGGGTCGAAGGAACAGTGAAGAAGCGAAAGCACTTGCCTTGTATTCAGGCAACCTGGTTCAGTCCCTGAGTCCCTTGGACCCTTCCAAGAATCCATGAGCAGAGCACAGAGCCAGGAGTCAGACTTGAACATCTCCAATTGCGGCTCAAAAAACACAGGGCCAGAGCAATAGCAGGGGAGGGCGGTTGCCTTGCATGCGGCCAATCCAGGTGTGATCTTCAGATACCATAAGGTCCCCTGAGCACCGCCGGGAGTGATCCTTGAGCATTGCCAGGTGTGACCCAAAAGCAAAACAAAAACCTTGCACACACACACACACACACACAAACACACACTCACACACGATTTTGCTCAGGCTCAGAGCATATGGCGTGAGGGTGAGGCTCTTCTGAGACAGGACCCTGGACACTGCCCATCTTTTCAGTATGGAGCCAGAGGCTTGTGGGGGCAGCAGAAGGGGGCCCAATAAGACAGGAAAGCTCTGTGCTCTTAGGGGTCCAGAGTTGTCTGGGTTGGAGTCACGACAGTATGAGGCTCTCCAGGGCAGGAGTGAGACAATCTTAATCTTAGCCCCAGTCCCTGCAAGTAGTAGCATTTGTCTGGCAACGAGAGAATGAATGAATGTCTTCATGAATGAGTGAATGCATGCACGCATGAATTAATGAGTGAGCAGATGAATGCATGCATGAATGCATGGATGAATGAATGCATGAGAGGACAAGTGGATGGACGAATGCATGAGTGGGTAAGCGAATAAATGAATGCGAAGTGGGTAAGCAAATGAATGAATGCATAGTGGGTAAGTGAATGAATGAATGTGTAGTGGCTAAGTGGGTGAATGAATGCACACATGGGTAAGAGTGAAGGAATGCTAATACTGTGCCCAGCACCTCACTGGAAGCCCAGTGAAGGCCCTTCTCTCCAGGCTGTTCTGGGGAGCTCCTTCCCTTCTTCAGGGAAAGCCCCCTCTGGTCCCTTCTCAGTCCACTGTTCCCCTCTGAAAGAAGAGGGAAGTGGGGATCTTCTCGGTCATCTGTGGCTGCCAAGCTTCCCCTTCTGCTGTTACCCAGTTTCCGTCACCCAGCCCCAGAAACTTCCAGCTGCAGTGTCGTCGGGACACCAGGCAGCCCCCTGACAGCCCAGCCCCTGCGCCTCAACCTTGGAGATGCTGCTTCTGCTGCTGCTGCTGCCGCTGTCACCCCAACTCGGGGCAGGTGAGTTGGGGTGCTGATGGGTACAGGTAGCGGGAGTGGCTTCTGAGCCTCTGTGTCCCTCCCCCTACCCAGGGTGGTCACCGAAGAATCAGGACTATGAGGTGCAGCTGCAGAACCAGGTGACGGTACAGGAGGGGCTGTGTGCCCTGGTGCCCTGTTCCTTCAGCTCCCACAAGGCTGGCAGAAACAACTCAAAAATCACCTATTTCACCTGGTACCGCAAGAATGAAAGTCACCAGAATGGTCAGGACTATGTCCTGGTGGCCACAAGCAGCCCCGCCAAGAAGGCCCAGATTAAGGTCAAGTCTTCGTTCCACCCCATTGGCGACCCCAGAGCCCACAACTGCACCCTGAGAATCGTGGCGCCCCGGCGCACGGAGAGTGGCTTCTACTACCTGCAGCTGGGCCGAGGGGATCCCTCGGCGAAGGCCAAGAACCTGCTGGTCCTGAGTGTGACGGGTGTGCCTCAGAGGGGTGCAAGGGTGGCTGAGTGTGGGGGCCCTGCTCAGACAAGCATATGAGGGTTCTCGCTGGCAGTGCCCCTCGGCCCACCTGTTCCCCTCTGCTCCCCAGCACTGACACAGACACCTGACATCCACGTCGACCAGCCCCTGGAGTCAGGGCAGCGCAGCAGCCTGAGGTGCTCCCTGCCCGGGGCCTGTGCCCACGGGGGGCCGCCCATCGTCTCCTGGCACGGGGAGGTCCTGGGGCCCCTGGGCCTTGTCAACTCCTCTGAGATCTCACTGGCCCCCCACCCGCAGGACCACGGCACCCAGCTCACCTGCCGGGTCACTGTGCTGGGAGTCAACGTGAGCACAGAACGGACCATCACTCTCAATGTGTCCTGTGAGTGCAGCCTGGCGGGGCTGCTCCCCACCTGTGGCTTCTGGGCTGTGCATAATTCCTGAGTGCAGAGCCAGGAGGGACCCTGGAGTGAGCCTCACCATGTCTGTCTGTCCTAGATGCGCCCGAGAACCTGACCATCTTCCGAGAAGACTGTGCAGGTAGGCTGTGGGTTGGGATGGAAGGGATGGGCTGTGCAGGGCATTGGGCATTATCAGCCCAGAGAAGGAATGCCACCCTCACCAGCCCGCCCTGAGTGCAAGGAGCTTCGGAAGGCCATGCTAAGGGCAGGTGGCCAGAGAATGCATGTGGAAGAGCAACACGGGACACAGCACATCCACCAGCAACTTTTGGTTGCAATTTCCAGTTCTAGGGTTGTCCCAGGTGCTTCTGGTCGCTGCACCATCTGGGGTCCCTGGCACTGCTGGCAATTTCTGGGTGCAGCATAGCAAGGCATGTTTGAGCCCCAAGACAGGGGGCCTCTGTGCATTGTGTGTGAGTACTCGGCAGCCCTGGGCAAGAGTTTGGCCCTGGGACTGGAGCCATAGGACAGCAGGCAAGGCACTTGCCTTGCACGAGAATGACTCAGGTTCGATCCCCAGCATCCCATATATCCACAGCAGCCCTGAGCATTTCCAGGAGTGATTCCTGAGTGCAGAGCCAGGAGTAACAGCCCTGAGCATTGCTAGGTGTGCCCTCCCTACAAAAATAAAACAGAGTTTGACCCTGAAGCTGGAGAAATAACTAAGATGGCTAGAGTGTGAGGGCCAAAGCAATAGTACAGCAGGTAGGGTGTTTTGTCTTGCACATGGCCAACCTGGGTTTAATCCCTGGCACCCCATGGTTCCCGGCAACCCATCTCATGGTACCCTGAGCATGACCAGGAGTAATTCTTGAGTGCAGAGCCAAGAGCAAGCCCTGAGCATCACTGGGTAAGGCCCACAAACAAACAAAAAAACAAAACGAAAGACTGGAGCATGAGCTCAGCCTGCAGAGGCCCTGAGCACCATCCCTGGCTCCACTGGGCTTCGTGCCAAAAGCCCTGAGCACGCTGAGCAGGGCTGCAGAATGCTGTTGGAGAGCCCCCCAATATAAGAAGCACAGGGGAAACACAACTTCAGGGGTGCAAACCTGACCACTAGGGCCGATGTGCAAACCACCTGAGGTGTGACCTGAAGCAAGATGATAGGGGCATGTGATACCGGGTGAGCCCGTGGGGTTAGACAGGGCTATGCAGACACCAGACCCCCAGAATGACCGGCCCGGTTCAGAGGTGGGGGGTATGGGTATCTGAGAACTGGAGAGTGAGAAGGAAAGAAAAAGAGTGAAAGGGAAAGAGAGAGGGAGAGAGAGAGAGGAAGAGGGAGAGAGAGAGGGAGGGAAGGAGAGAGTACACAAGAGGTATGGTGCTGGCCTGGCACAGTCCTTCCTCGATCCCTGGCATAACATAGGGTCGAGTGCCTCTAGAATCCTTGAGCACAGAGCCAGAGGTAAATCCTGACACTACTGAGTGTGTCCCTCACTTTACCCCCCCCAAAAAAAAACTTAGGGCAAAGGAGAGATGGGGTGATGGCTAAGGGGTACAGGTCTCTTTTGGGGGGCACAGTGTGACAGTTTCAGAGGAGCTGGAGTGACAGTACAGCTGGGAGGGTGTCTGCCTTGTACACGGCCAACCCTGGTTCAACCCCCGGTACCAAAATGGTCCCCCAAACTCTACCAGTAATTTCTGAGCACAGAGCCGGGAGTAAATCCCAAGTACCACTGGGTGTGGTCCAACCCCCCCTCCCCCGCAATGTCCAAGGAATTCTCACCTTCTGCCTGCCTCCCTCTCTGTGCCCCTAGAAAGGAGAGAGTTGGACAACGGTTCCTCTGTCGTGGTGGAGGAAGGCACGTCCCTGGGCCTGGTGTGTGGTGCTCGCGGCAACCCTCCCCCCAGGCTGAGCTGGGTCTGGGAGCACAGGCTGCTGCCCCCCTCCCAGTCCTCAGGTGCCGGGGTCCTGGCGCTACACCCAGTGGAGCAGCATCATGAAGGCAAATACACCTGCCAAGCTGAACACCCCAGGGGCTCCCTGCACGCCTCCTTGCACCTCTCTGTGCGCAGTGAGTGGGGGACCAGGATGGGCACCCCGGGTTAGGGGGAGGCACCTGGGTCCTAGGGAGGGGCCGCACACCTGATGCTCCCCCTCCCTCCCACAGCCCCCCTGCAGCTGCTGGGCCCTTCGTGCTCCTGGGAGGCCCAGGTTCTGCACTGTAGTTGCTCCTCCCATGCCCATCCCGCCCCTGCCCTGCGCTGGTGGCTGGATCAGGGGCTGCTGCAGGAGAACCGCAGCAACGCCTCCTTCCAGGTCATCTCCAGTTCCCAGGGGCCCTGGGCCAACAGCTCCCTGAGTCTCTGGGAGGGGTTTGGCGCCGGCCTCACGGTCCGCTGCGAGACCCAGAATGTCCACGGCGCCCAAAGTGCCTCAGTTCTGCTGCTGCCAGGTGAGGGGCTGATGAGGGACTGGGGTCGGGGTGGGGGAGGCAGCTTAGGGTCAATGGCACGAGGAGCTCCCTGGCATCCTGGAGCAAACGCATCTTGAAGCCCAGTCTCTTGCAGGGCAGCCTGGGCTCAGGGGAGGAACTTTTCTGGGCGCCATCGGTGGAGCTGGTGTTGTGGGCCTGCTGGCTCTGTGTCTCTGCTTCCTTGTCATCATGTGAGTGTCCTCCGGGAGGTGGCGACTGTCAGGGATTGGGCCTGGACCAACTCCTGGGACCCCGGGCGGTTGGATCGGGATGGTGCAGAAGTGGGAACAGGGCCGTGTGCCTGTGGGCATTGCGTGAAGGGCAGCCAGCAGGACCCCTGACCCCACTTCTGCACCTGGGTGGGCCCTTCTGGCTTCCTCACAGAGGTGGGGTGAAGGGGCACCACCCAGTCATACCAGCCAAGTAGCTGAGAGCCTGTTTCCCCCAGTGTGAAGGCCTGCAAGAAGGGGGCTCCCAAGAAGGTAGCTGGCCGAGATGAGACCGCTCCTTTGGGTCCTACCTCCCGGGTGAGTGAACGGCCTCTGTCTGTGGGGACCCCTCCTCCCCCTGCATGGCCCCTGTCACACGCCTCCCCACGTGAGACCTGCATCTCAAGAACTTGAGGGGTGCTTGGGACAAAATGCAAAGTTTTCTGCTTTTGTTGTTGTTGTTGTTTGGGGCCACACCTGGCAGTGCTCATGGCTTACTCAAGGATCACTGATCCTGAGGGATCACTGATCACTGTTACTGCACTCAGGGATCCTGGTGGGGCTCGGGGATCAAGGGATCAAACCCTGGTGGGCTGCGTGCAAGGCAAGCGCACACTGTCCTCTCTCTGGTCCAAAAAGCCAAGTTTATTTTGGGCAAAGTCAATGCTTCACCATTGCAGTCTTGGACCTCCTCCCTTTTTTTTTCTTGGTGTGGAGAGAATAGTTCGGGTCACACCTTGGAGTGCTCAGGACTGACTCAGCTCTTTGCTCGAGGGTCAGTCCTAGTGGTGCTTAGGGCCGACTCCTGTGCTTAGGGGCCTCCTGGTGGTACTCAGGGCTGACTCCTGGCTCTGTGCTCAGGGTCACCCCTGGTGGTTTTCAGGACCCCTGGCCCCTGTGCTCAGGGGTGCTTTGCAGTAGTTCTGTAGTGCCGGGGAGAAAACCAGGCTTGGCCGTGTGTGAGGCCAGTGCCTTCCCCCATCTCTGCTTCATGTGGCCTTTGCCTCTGTCAACATGAAGAGGCCCTTGGCTGCACTCAGGAGTATAGGAGGGGGGGTGAGGGCCCCTCCCACAAGACAGCTGAATGTGGAGTGTGGGTGGTGGCTCCAAGCCCTCCTCTTGCAGGAAGTTCACTGGGGCAGGGATGGGGGTCACTAAGATTGATTCCACTCCAGCCTCATCAGCATCAAGGTCTCCTGTGACCTGGGGACCAGGCACTCCAACTCTCCATTGCTCCCATGTCTTGGGTGACTACCGGGGCTTCTGGATCCCTTCCAGCACCCCCATTTGGACCCTCCCTCTCCACTCAGGGATTTCAGCTTGAGCACCTCCCAGAAGGCCCTCCAGAGCTCCCCATGGCCTCCTTGGGTCCCAGGGAGAAGCCTGAACTCCACTACGCAGAGCTCAGCTTCCAGGGGCTCAGACCCTGCGTCCCGGCCCAGGCGGCGGCCAGCACTGAGTACGCAGAAATCAAGACCCACAAGTGACGTGCCATCTGCTCTGAGGGCAGCGCCGTCCACAAGTATGGCTAAGCGTGGGCTGCGTCCACGCCCCCCTCTAGATCCTCTGCTGGAGGATGGAGCTGGTCACCCCAACTCATGGGGGCAGGGGGAATGTGACAGTGACACCATGCGTCTTCCTGGGGGCACCCTGACGCAGGCTTTGGAGCACCCTCAGGCTCTGCTGTGACTGACCCCCTCCCAGGCTGCGCTCCCCTAGCCTGTGTCCCAGAAACTCAACAGTGCACTGTCCCATGAAAGCTCTTTCCCACCCTGCAATAAAGATCGGTGACTTCCCATCCCCTAATGTTGCCAATGAGTTTGGATCTTACTTTCTCCTCCCTAAGGAACCTCTTTCTTCTTTTCTTTAGGGGAGGGGAGTGTTTGGGGCCACACCTGATGTTGCTCAGGGTTGACTCCCATATCTGTGCTCAGGAATCTCTCCTTGCCATGCAAGGGAAGTGCCCCGCCCACTGAACTATTGCTCTGGTCCCTGAATTCCCTTCCAAAAATAATGTGCCGTTCACATCTCTATTCTGCAAAGATCATAAATTCTTGTTTCCATTTTTTCATTTTGGGGTCGCACTCAGTGGTGCTCGGGGCTACTCTCAGCTCTCTAGTCACTCCTAGAGGTGCTTTGGGGATCCTGGGGTGCCCAGGCCTCCCACCTGCAAAGCATGAGCCTCAGCACTTAGGCCCTCTCCGGGCTTTGAATATCCTTTTATTATTTTTTGAGTGGGGGGTTGGAGGGAGGCCACCCCGGGTGGTGTTCACGGCTGACCCTGACTCTGCGCTTGGGGGTCACTCCTGGAAGGGCTTGGGGGACCCTAGGGGGTGCCAGGGATTGAACCTGAGTCAGCCACATGCAAGACAAGCATCTTCCCCGCTGTCCTCTGCTCGCCAAGGCCTGTCCTGGTTGGAGCCATCACCTCCCTACACCAGAGCTGGGCGACACATGAGATGGTGCCCCCAGCTCAAGAGGGCCTCCTCAGCGGGTGTAGGCTGCTGGCTGGGCTGGACGCTGCGACCAGCTCTTACCTGCTTGAGTGGTCTGGAAGCTTTCATACTACTCGGTGAGTGTCTGTGCAGAGTGGGGCTGGACAGAAGCCTCTCTGTTCCCCCTCAGAGGATGCGCCTTGCACGAGGCCGCATAGCGACTGCATGAATGGTCCAACCTCTGAGTGGGACCCTGGGGGTGGCACCAAGGACTTTCTCCCCTACCTGGCCATCCTCCTGGTCCCCAAATCTGTAGGGTGGTTCAAGATTCCCAAGAATAAATTCAGGAGGTCTACATGTCCCCCTTCGTCCCTTGGCCAAAAGCTGCTGAGTTTCTGAGTCAACCTTTGAACTTACCCCCAGACCCGCTCGCACTCTTTTATTTTTTTTTTTTTCTTTTTGGGTCACACCCGGAAATGCCGAGGGTTACTCCTGGCTTTGCACTGAGGAATTACTCTTGGAAGTGCTTGGAGGACCATATGGGATGCTGGGAATCGAACCCGGGTTGGCTGCATACAAGGTAAATGCCCTACCTGCTGTACTATCGCTCCAGCCCCCCACGCTCACCCTCTTGCCTGGTCCTTCCTGCTTCTGGATCCTAGCACAGCCCCAAAGGTCCCCCATTGTCCAAGGTGCAGTTCTCTGCCTGCTGGGCTGGTCCCACCTGGATGAGGCCCCACAGCTCTTCCTGGGTCTATGCTCGGTGCTGCTGGCACAGCGCAGGGGTCTAGAAGCCTCTACTAATGACTGTGGGTCAAAGGACGGATGGGTGGATGGGAGAGAGGGGAGGCGGGGGTGGGGAGGACCGGGATGAACACTACCCAAGCAAAGGGATGGGCAAGGGCGGCTGGGAAGGTGGGATAACAGACAAATGCATAGAAGTAAGGGTGGAGGCAGGGGTTCACAGGAAGTGAAAGTTCTGGGCGGATGCAGAAAGGGGTACTGGAAAGGTTTTGGGTGGAGGAATGTGTGGGCAGAGGTATGGACACAAAGGGGGTGGGTGGTAGTGAGTAGATGAATTCTTTTTAAAATATTTAATTGGGGGGGGGGAGGAGAACAATAGTACAGCGAGGAGGGCATACTACATGGCTTACCCATGTTCTCCGGCCGGGGTCCCCCAAGCACTGCCAGGAGTGATTCCTAAGCACAGAGCCAGGAATAACCCCTGAGCATTGCCCAGTGTAACCCAAAAAGCCAAAGAAAAATATAAAAATTTTCTTTGGGGGACCATACCCAGCACTGTTCAGGGTTAATCCAGGATCTGTGCTCGGAGATTATTATTCCTGGTGGGTTCTGGGGACCCTATGGGATGCCAGGGACGGAGTCTGGGCGGCCCCGTGCAAGGCAAGTGTCGTCCCCACTGTACTATTGCCCTGGTGGTTAGTACTATCCATGGAGAAGATGGATGAATTCTACCACTAGACATTTGGAACCAGCAAGGGGAGGCTGAAGAGATTAAGGGGCCAGGGAGATGCAAGAATGAGGAGACAGGCAGTTACATCAGAGCCCGATCAGACAAGACAGTCATAGTTGGAGGAAAGGCTACAGTGGATGAAAGGTGGTTCAACTTTTCCAGAAACTTCTTTCAGGGCTGGAGCAATAGTACAGCAGGTAAGGCATTTGCCCTGCATGTAGCTGACCCGGGTTTGATTCCCAACATCCCATATGGTCCCCCGAGCACCACCAGGAGTAATTCCCGAGTGCATGAGCCAGAAGTAACCCCTGAGCATCACCAAAAGCAAAAAAAGAAAAAGCAGCAGCAGAAACTTCTTTCAAAGACTCGGACCTCTCCAAGTTCCAATAAAACAATTTATTATCAAAGCACAGGGGTGTCAGAAGAGGGTGGATCCCACCGAGGTGATGGCCCTGGCTCTGCCGCTGCAGCGACATAGACTAAAGGGACGGGCTGGCCTGAAGGAGGAACGGGACTTCACAGTGTCCGAGACTGGGGCCTGGGCAGAGACACTAACAGCAGCCAAGGAGCAGGACTGGCCTAAAGCTGCAGCAGGAATGCACAATCAAAGCAGTGGATCTTACTAGACGCTAATCTGTGAACCTACAGCAGGCTTGGAGTCACATTTCTTCTTTGATTTCAGACTGCAAGTTGGAAATTCTAGAAGGCAAAACTGGCCTGAGTGTGTGAGCAGGACGTCACCGGCCTGTGGGGACCGAAAAAGGGGAATCATAAGCCAGTGAAATGACAGACACATACCCCCCTTCGGGGAGTGAGCAGGGCTAAGACTGTGAGTGTGTACGTGTCTGTATATGTATGGGAGCAATGGGGAATGTGAGCTGCTGATCGTGTATACTACCCGCTGGCCTAGTGCTCTGGCCCAAGGCACTGCTTTATCTGCGGCCAATCCTGTTCACTCCCCCGCACCACATGACCCCTGAGCACAGAGTCAGGAGTAGCCTTAAGCCAGCAGGTGTGGTCCAGAGGCTGGTGAGCTTGGAGACAGTGGCCCTAAGACCTGAAGCTGCTCCTCTGCCTCTTCTATCTAGAACAAATTTTTTTGCTTTTTCAGTCACACCCGGCAATGCACGGGGGTTACTCCTGACTCTGCACTCAGTAATTGCTCCTGGCAGTGCTCAGGGGACCATATGGGATGCTGGGGATCAAACCTGGGTTAGCGGTGTGCATTTTTTTTTTGCTTTTTGAGTCACACCCAGCGGTGCTCAGGGGCTAATCATGGCTCTGCACTCAGGAACCACTCCTGGTGGTGCTTGGGGGACCATATGGGAGGCTGGGAATTGAACCTGCGTCAGTCATGTGCAAGGCAAATGTGCTACCCACTGTGCTATAGCTCCAGAACCCCCTCCCCCCTTCCCCCCCTTCCCCCCCTTCCCCCTCTTTTTTTTTTGGCTTTTTTTGGGTCATACCCGGTGATGCTCAGGGATTACTCCTGGCTTTGCACTCAGGAATCACTTCTGGCGGTGCTTGGGGGACCATATGGGATGCTGGGAATTGAATCCAGGTCAGCCGTGTGCAAGCAAACACCCTACCTGCTGTGCTATTGCTCCAGGCCCTCCCCCCCATTTTTCTTAAGGTCAATTTTCTTCTTCTCCCCATTCCATCTACAGTATATTTAAGCTGGGTGTTTGCCCCTGAGGAGTCCTGGAGGTTGGAAAATTCAAGACCAGGGAAAAACAATCCAGTGCCCACCAGTCTGAGAAGCAGGGGCAAGGGGGGCATGGAACAGGGAGAGGACTCCGGGCTAGCAAACCTTGTGCCCCAAACCCACCTACGGCACCATCTGGAGGTTCAAGGGGTCGTAGGCCGACAACCGGCAATCCTGCAGCAGGGCTTCGAGACTGTTCCGCAGCATGATGTAGGGTGGCTTCTCATCATACCGGAGGGCCATCACCACCTTCAGGTACTTCAGCAGGGCCTCTGTGGGGAAGACACAGCCCAGCATGGGGCGCAGAGGCTCAGGGAACTCAGGGCCTGGGGGACGGTGCCCAGAGGGAGCTGTGCTGCCTGCTGGCGTGGAGCTGGGCCCTGCAGATTTTTTCCAAGTCCCAGGAAGCAGTAAAGATGCAACTGTGCCCCTGACGTGAACTCCAAACCAACTCCTTTCTTCCCGCTCAAGCTCACATCTGCAGACTTTTTTTTTTTTTGGAGGGGGGGAGGGAGGCCCACACCTGGTGGTGCTCAGGGTATCATATGGGATGCCAGGGATCAAATCTGGGTTGGTCACATGCAAGGCAAGTGCGCTCCCCACTGTACTACTGCTCTGGACCCAGAGTAAAATCCAAACAGTTTGGATTTTTCTGTGGGTCGGGGATCAAATCCGTGGTCTCCACACCTGATAGGTCAGTGTATCTGAGCTAAGCCCTGACCTTTTCTCTTTTCCTGTTGTTATTTTAAAATGTTTAACTTCCTGGGTCAGAGTGAAAGCACAGCAGGGAGGGCGTATGCCTTGCATGTGGCTGACCTGGGTTCTATCCCCAGCATCCCATATGGTCTCCTGAGCCCTGCCAGGATGACACCTGAGTGCAAAGCCAGGAATAAACCCCTGAGCACCACCAGGCGTGGCCTCAAAACTAAAAGAAACAACATCCTGTTATTGGGAACCAAGAGACAGTACAGTGGGTGTAGTATTTGCTGCACATATGCCCGGTTCAACCCCTGGTACTGCACCCAAGGACCACCAGGAGCAACCCCTGAACACAGTTGGGAGTAAACCACCCCTTCCCCCCAAAAATGTAATAAAAATACAGTGCTGGAGCAACAGCACAGAGGGTAGGGTATTTGCCTTGCATACCGCCGACCCAGGTTCGATTCCCAGCATCCCATATGGTCCCCCGAGCACCCCCAGGAGTAATTACTGAGTGCAAAGCCAGGAGTAACCCCTGTGCATTACCAGGTGTGACCCAAAAAGCAAAAGAGAAAAAAAAAAGTAGTAAAAATCCTAGTCTTGGGCGGGAGCAATAGTATAGCGTGGAGGGCGCTTGCCACTCCCTGGCAGCATATTGGTCCCTTGACAGCACTAGGAGTGACCCCAAAGCCAGGACCCCAAAACCGAAAAGAAAAAAGAAACTATAAAAAATCCTATTCTTGATCCACTGAATTGATTTCCTGACTGAGAAGCCCTAAGAACTTAAAAGAGGTGGGGAGGGAGGTAACCCCAAGACAATCCGAGCACCCCTTTCCCTTCCCGTTTCAGGACATACCTGAGGGGTTGAGCCAGTGGCTGCACTGGGCCATGAGTGCATCCGGGTTGTCCAGGAACCTGGCAGGACAGACAGAACATGCCTTGCGGGTGGAAGGGAGCAAGGTCTGCCCTTATGCACCCCATCCATAGATTCAGAGTCGGGAGACACAGGTCATGTTCCTGCCAGTTTCTGGTCGCCTTGGGCCCCGCTGACCCCCCTGTGTCCAGGACACCTGATTTCACACGCCCCTGGGAAGTACAGCAACTTGGTGTTCTCATGAGACAGGCCCAGCTGCACAGTCCCATTCGCGTTGTGGTGGGGTGGATGGTTGGGTGTGAGAGTAATACTTCTGAGAAGCTGTGGGGTTGGCTGGGTACACGCTCTCAGGGCCTCAGATTGTGACAGTGCCTGCCTCAGAGAGGCTGGGAGGATGGTTGGCAGGGGGCCGACGAGTGTCTGATAAATGTGAGCTAGCCTGCGTCACTCTGCAGAGACTTACAGGATAAGCAAAGTCCCTTTCCCAGCCAGGGACAGACAGGGGGACAGGAAAGGGCGCCTGTGGAATGGCTGAGCTGAAGATGAGACCCAGGGCACTGCCATGCATGCCATGCATGCCATTCTTGCGGGCATGCAGTTGGGGCCACAGGAGCAGCATGCTGAGGGCATGAGAGCCGGAGATGGATACGGAAGCTGCAGAAGTGTTTGTGCAGATGACACTCACAGCAATGCTGGAGGTCATGCTGGGGCACAGAGAGAACTACCCCAGCTGGTTCCAAGTGAGGGGCTTGAGAGAAGCATCGCAAAAAATGTGGCGGGACGTGGCAAGGAGGCAGACTCTGTGCCCATAGCCAGGGAGGCGGCGGTGCTGCACCCCACCTCGACACGGCGCGGTGTGTGCCGCACGCACACGTGAGTGGAAGGGGCAATGGACCAGACTCGCCGTGAGCCCAGCAGAGGGGCCAGAGTCTGGGGCTGGGTCCAGCCTACTCCTCCCTGACCACCCCGCCCTCTCCTGAGCTTCCGCAGACAACCCAAGTGACAATGCCAGCCACAAATTTCCATCTTGACTTTCTGTTTGCACTCAGAGGCCTCAGTGGCAGAGCACCAAACATTTTTTGGGGTGGGGAGTGTCCCACTTGTATGATTCCTGGGTAACTCATCCCCAGGTATAAACAACTCCTGAGTAACACGGTTGCCCTCTGTGGGTGCTGACTCTCATGCCCAAGAATCTCTCCTGGCATCCGGCACATCCTTCTCTGAGGTTTTGGACCCCATACCACTGGAAAGGCCCTAGCACCCCATGTTTCTACCCCAGGGGAAGAGCACTATTAGAGGAGCACTTCCCCCTGGTCACCCAACACCTCTGTCCCTGGGGCTGAACCCCACTCCCCTACAGGGCCACCCAAACCGTTGTCCATAGTGCTGAAGCCAACAGCAGCACCCTTGGCCAAAGCCCTGGGTCCCCAGGTAAGAGGCTGTGTGGCCACTGTCCCTGGTGCTGCTCGCGCCCCCAGCAGGCGGATATGATCCCGGCTTCCATGCAGAAAGGATATCCAGGCTGCTGCCCTGCCTGCAGGGGGCCCAGGCCTGCCTCACGCTGGCTCTGTAGTGAGCACTGGGAAGCTCCCCTGCCCCCCCTGCCCCAGAGTCGGGCACTAACAGGATTCACCTCCTGAACCATATCGAGGCCAGGGGAGGTGGGTGAAGCCAGTGTCCCTGGCGCGGCTGAATCCATGCCCCCTCCTGTCCTCTCCTGGGTCCTTATTTCTGCTGGCCCCTACACTCACTTCTGTTTCTGCTTCATGACTTCCTCGGTGTTGGGGAGGTTTTTTGTCCATGGCAGGAACCCGTAGAGCCACTTCAGCATACAGTAGCCCAGAGACTGGAGGTCACTGCGGCGGGAGGGACCTGGGGAGTGCAGGAGAGGAGGCAGCTGAGTGGCAGGCTCTGCTCTGCTCCTCTCGTCTGTCTTCCCATTCCCTCCCATCAGGTCCATCTGCACTCACTCTCTTGGGAGGCCCCCAATGCCGCCCCTTCCCAATCCTTACTGTCCTGTGGGTCCTGCTCACCCCTTGTTCACTCAGAGGGCCTCAGGTTAGCTGGAGATCCTGCCCCCGCCCCCCCGCCCCATTCTGGAACCTTTGACAGGTGAGTGGGGATGACCTACATGAGACAGTGGGGATGATGCTACAGGAGACAGCAAAGAACAGGGCAGAAGGGGGCCGGGAGGACTGTGAGCTCTGCCTCGGCAGGAGGCACGAAAGAAAACTGTGGGGACGAATCATAGACAGGGAGGGCACTCGTCTTGCACATGGCTGGCCTGGGTTCCATCCCTGGCACCTATATGGTCCCCGAGCAACACCAGGAGTAATTCCTGAGTGCAGAGCCAGAAGTAAGCCTTGAGCACTTCTTGGTGTGCCCCAAATACATATGCCAAACACACACACACACACACACACACACACACACACACACACACACACCACCAACAACAACAAGAAAACCATGGGATTCACTCTCTCCCCTCACCACTCCCAGATATGGTGAGTTGAACCAGGCCCTGGGAGAGGTCAGCACACCACCCCACGCTCCACTCGAATGAGCTCCTCCTCCCATGGCTTCAGCTGGTACCTCCCAAAACGCTGCCACCCTGTCATATCCAGACTTCTCCCGTGTCCCAGACATGGGCAGCAAGATGCCTCTCAGACACTCCACGCTGTCCTTGATGCTGAAATGTCTCCCCAATAGGCCTCCCATGTTCTGCACACCCTTCCTGGAGTCCTGCGAGTCCGGCCCCAGCGCGTCCTCCTGGTGCCTCCATTCTGGCCTCTTACCACAGCCCTTATGCAGGTCCATGCTGATGAACTCGAGGTCCCCCTCATGCGGGCTTCTGCTGCCTTCTGAGTAGGCCACGTGCTTCCCGCCTGGGGAGTAGCGGAAGGCGAAGCCGTATCCCACGAGGGTCACCTGTGAGGATGCGCAGGGAGGAGTCACCATTTGGAGGCTGGGATCAGAGACGCTGACAGGGGTGCAATGTGAAAGCACACACCAGCCAGCACAGATGGTGTGAGGAATGGGGTCCCCCAACTGCCCAGCTGCTTTCTGGGCCCGAAACCCATCACCTAGGATGGTGTCAAATTGTTTTTTTGGAAGAATTCATGCTGGAGGGGCCTGGAGGGCAGGCCCCTGAGGGTTCTATGACACCCACTGCTGGGTTTCTGGTCTCCAGCCGCCAATCAGGGCAGTAACTGTAGGCCCATGTGGACCCAGTTCAAATGCCCAACCATGGCACCCACACAACTAGTTTCTGCCCACGACGTAAGTGCCAGGCCCTAACTTCTCCATTTGAAAAGTGGTAACAATAGTTCCTGACCAATAGGGCTGTTGGGGGTTGGAACAAAAAACAGGATGCTTCTGTCATATACATGGCCAACTTACCTGCTGGGCAAGGGCTGCAGCCATTCAGACCACTGCCCAGGGGGATGGAGCGATAGTACAGCAGGTAGGGTGTTTGCCTTGCATGCGGCAGACCTGTGTTCGATTCCCAGCATCCCCTATGGTTCCCCGAGCACTACCAGGAGTAATGAGTGCATGAACCAGGAGTAACCCCTGTGCATCACTGGGTATGATCCAAAAAGCAAAAAAAAAAAATCATCACCCGGGAAAGCATGTCGACTATCCATTTGGTCCAGTCTGTGCTTATGGGCACCTTATGTCACCCAGACTAGGAACAGGGTGTCCAGACACTGGGTCAACACTATTCTTGGTAGTTTGAGGAGATATCTAGGAGAGATCAATGATCTTCAACTTTTATTTTTATTTTATTTCGGGGTCATTACCCGGCTTGGTATTTGGGGGTCGCTGCGGGTGTGCATGTCTGTGGGGGGTGGGCATCTGGAGGACACACCATGCAGTGCTGGGGAATCAAGCCAGGCTTTGTACATGCAAAGCTCCTGCTCCAGCCTGCTGAGTTCACCCCAATCCTAACACTGGAGACTGGGCAAACAACTACCAGTAAACCAAGTAAAGCAGATTACCCTGCTGAATGTGGGGGGGGCCTCAGAATTGCTGAAGACCTAACTAGAACAACAAGAAGACCAGTAAGCGGTGAGCAGGGGCTGTGCCCTTCAATGTCCTGCAAGCCAGGTCAGCCCCCAAGCGTGGGAACTGGGCTGCCGCTCTGCTGACAGGCTGGTGTTGCCCAAAAGGAAACTCAATTTGTCACCCAAGCTTTTCCCTGAGCGGTTGACTTTTGAGCCAAGCTCAGCAAGGCGTGCCTGCCCTTCCTTGTGCAGGCTAGATAGTGACATGGCCTCTGTGGGCTTCCTGCTTCACCCAAGCCAGGCGGGGCACGAAGCTGACTTCCCTAGACTCAGCTGACCTGTCACTGATCCCCTCAACTGCTTTTCTCACCTTCCAACCATTTTTAAGTTTCTCCCATTTACTCATGTTTTCCTAGATAATGGACAAGTCTTGGCCAGTCATATGCATTGTGACACAGAGGTGTGGCATTAGGCGACACTGGGGCCCTGAGAACCCCCAGGGCAGAGCCCTGGCGCTTTAAAATTTTTTAAAATTTTGTTTTGTTTTTCTGAGCCACACCCAGCAGAGCTCAGGGATGATTCCTGGTGAAGCTAGAGGGATCCTGTGCCGGGCCGGGGACAGAGTCTGTGTTGCTACACGCAGGGGTGCGCCCTCCCCACTGTGATAAGGCTCTGCCCCCGGTGCTTACCTGGCTTAGGTCCTCTGGATTCACAAAGATGTTGTCCGCTGTCACATTGCTGTGGACATACTCGTTCTCATGGAGGAACTCCAGGGCGTCCAGCTGGGGGAAAGGAAAAGCACTGGCCATGTGGGGAACTAATGCAGAGAGGCTGTAATGTGGAGCCCCATCCAAGGACATGCCTGGGGTCAGGCAGCACTGCCTGGACTGGGGGTGCAGGCAAGGCATCTGGACGAAACCTCTGGTGCCGATTCTGACAGCGCACAGAAGCAAAGCTGCTAAAAGGTTCAGGACTAAAGCCAACAGTTTTTCTTATTTTGTTTTTTTTTGGTGGGAGCTACTCTTAGAAGTGTCACTTCTGGTGGGCTTGGGATATACAGTGCCAGAAATAGAATCTGGATCAGTTGTGTGCAAATGCACTGCCCACTGTACTATCTCTCTGCCCCCCAAAGTCAACAGCTTAAAATCTCTTTCTCAGGCCGAGAGCTCCAACAGATGCCAGCTGCGACCCTGTTCCCAGCCTAATTCCCTGCATCTATTTCATAGTTGATGAAACTTGGGAGGCAAAGATGCTCTCCCGTGGCCGCAGCCACCCAACACCGTGAACAAAGAGTCTCACTCATTTCCTGACTTAACAGGAACCATTCCATCATGCAAATTTTTTTCTTTTCTTTTTTTTTTCAGGGGGAAGAATCACATCTGCAGGGCTCAGGGTGACTCCCAGCACTCAGTGCTCAAGGAACCAAGTGGTACTGGGGAATGAGCCCGTCTCCCGCATGCCCAGCACATGCTATGGCCCCGTCCTTTGCACTTTCTCTGCAGACACAGCAACTCCTCTATTTCTGTTTCTAGCTCAGAATTTTTCTTTTCCTTCTTTTTTGAGGCCACTCATGGCTGTGCTCAGGGCTGACTCCTGGCACTGCACTCAGAGGTCACTCCTAACAGCCCAGGCTCTGTATGCCAGGCCAGGGACAGAACCGGAGCTGGCTGCGAGCGATGCAGATGCTCTCCCCACTGTCAGGTCACTCAGGCCCTCCAGCAAGGAATTTTCCTCTGAGCTGCAGACCGAGACACCAAGTGCCTTTATGGCAGTTACATGCCAATCAGGCCCCCAAATTCCAGCTGCACCCCAAGGCTTGAATATTTAGCAAACTCTTCATCTCAGGTACTGAGCCATGCCTCCACACATAAATTCTTTCCATTTTCATCGCCATGTCTGTGTATGTGTGAGCTCACACGCACGCGCTTTATTTGGTTTTGGGGTCACTCTCAGGACTTACTCCTGGCTCTGCCCTCAGAGATCACTCCTAAAGGGCTGTGGGGGTCCTATGGGGTGCAAGGGATTAAACCAGGTAGGGATTAAACCAGGTAGGTAGGTACACAAGGCAAGCATTCTTCTTGCTGTGCTATGGCTTGGGCCCCCTCCAGCACCTCCTGGAAGCTCCTGGAGACATGTCCTCTATAGCCACATGCAGTGGTTCTCAAGGGACCCTAACATTAGGACTTCACCCAGTGGGTGAATGTGCCTGTGGTGCCCCCTAGTGGCCAATCCAGGGACTGCACTGGTGGGGCAGGAATGGAGCAGTTGGAGGATGGGTACGTACCAGCCGATAGGCCACCTGGAACACACACTGCACCGCCATCACATGCTTCGGGTTGTCATCCAGGACTGACTGCAGGCTCCTCCCCAGATGCGGGAACACCAGGAACCTGCAAGAGAAGAGACCCCCGACAGGTAGCCGAGGTAGGACGGCTGTAGTCACAGTGTCCCACTCAGAGATGAAATGGAGGTGACCCCAGGATCCCAGCGGAGGTGGCTCACCTGAACTTGTCTTGGTGAATGCCGAAACCGACACAGGTGGGCACTGCCAGAAGAGGGACCGAGTACAGCTTCTTCCACTTGTTCACTGTGGGAGGCGGGGGCATGAGGGATCCAGGACACTGGCCCGGGCCACAGACACAGCATCCCTTGAGTGCCCAGCGCAAGTGGAACCCAGGGCAGCCCTCAGGCCCCAGGCTGGAGGTGGCACCTCTGTGGGGAGGCCTGACAGGGTTGACCGTAGGGCTCTGATGCTTCTGGAAGGCAGCTGAGCCCAGGCCATGTCTACACCTTCAGGAGCACGGCTGGATGGCACACAGCCAGCAGCAGGAGATGGGGGCTTAGCCCGATGTATGGCATTTGTTTGCCAATTTCTAGAGAGTACACTCTATCCCATGACCGAACTGCAAGAAAGCAAGAGGCCCAGTGTAGGTTGTTCCAGAACATTCCACCATCACACATGGGAGGACCATTCTGAGCAATAACAGCTGAAGAAAGAGCACAGGTGTTTAGGTGCTGGCCTCACATGTAACCCCAGCAGTACAGATGGTCCCCTAAAGAGTCAGGAAAGGTCCCTTTTTGTTTCTGAGGCCAAACCTGGTGTGTTGGCCACACACCCAGTGGGGCTCCCAATACAAAGCACGTGTTCAGCCTTTGGAGTCATCTTGAGGCCCTATTTTCTTGTGTGTATGTGTGCGTGCGTGTGTGCATGTGTGTGTGTTGTGGTGCTGGGACTGGACCTTACACACAAGGAAAGTGGCCTAATAGCTCCGCCACACCCCTGGCCCATATCACTGACCATTAGCAACAGCTCTACCCACCACTGTTAGTCCTGAAAATGTTAACACTTGGCTCACCAGCTAGGAGTGTTGGCCTCAGCCCATGACAATGCCTGTCCTGAGGCTGAGGGCCTGATGGGGTGGCGGGACAAAGCTGGATCCTCAATCCCTCCCTTCCCACACCCACACGCTGTTTGGACCACATGGCAGTGCAGCCCCCCTTCCCTGCAGGGTACCTTGCAAAGGCTTGGCGGCCCGCTGGAAGAAGTTCTGCTCATTGAACAAGCGTCCGTCCTTGGAGTCCTAGTGGAGGGCAGGGGGGCTGTCACATCGGCCTCCCTAGGGGCTCCCAGGCACCCGGCAAGCCCCAGACATGAGAACCACTCCTTAGGTACTGCACACACAAACCTACATCAGTCTGAAAGTGCCCCCTTGGGCCCAGTTTCCTTCTCTTTTGCATTAGAATCTGCCACCATTTTCCCTGGATATGTGGCCTGCTGCTTAAAAAACTGTATTTTCCAGCACCCCTTGCAGTGAGGCCCGCCCTGCCCAATGTGCTTTGAGCAGGCCAAGTTCTGCACAATATACTGTGGGCAAGGGGATGTGGGCAGCTTTCAGACTAGGTACTCCAGGGGCTGGGGCGGGTTCTTCCCTCCTTCTTCTGCATCCCTGGCTGTGGGGATGGAGCACCTTGGCCCTGAGATGGAGATTATGGGTTGAGGGGACTGGCACAGAGAAAAGAAAAGCAGGTTCCTTATTTACGGAAACAACGTTTCCACTGTTCCAAACCTGCAAATGATCCTACTGGGCCACTTCCTGCAGTCCATCCATGTAGACCCCTGGCTCTGTGCTCAGGGAACATCACTCTTGGTAGGACTTGGGGACCCTATGCAGTGCCCTGCTGCACTGTACCCTCTTTACAGCCCCAGGTAGGGTTTTTTTCGCCCCCCTTGTGGTTTTTGGGCCACAACCAGCTGTGCTCAGGGCTGCACTCAGGGATCACTCCTAGTGGGCTCAGGGACCATATGGGGTACCAGAGATCAAAACTGGGTTGGCTGCATGCAAGGCAAATGCCATACCTGTTGTACCATCGCTCTAGTTCCCCATAGTGTTCACCCTTGGCGGGCTCAGGGACCATATGGGATGCTGGGGATTGAACCTGGGTCAGTCACATGCAAGGCCAGCACCCTGTTCGCTGTCCTATGGCTCCACCCGCCCCCCCAGTTCTTCAGTATTTTAACAGCACACAATGCACACAGATGGCATCGAAGGAGCAGCTGGCAGAGGAAGGCGGCGGGGATGGAGCCCCCATTCCCTGCACTTCCTCCAGAGCCTCTCTGTGCCAAGTACCACTCAGCTTTTGGGGAGACAGCAGTGAGCAACACCCTGGAATTCTGGGTGTCACTACACAGGAGCCCGACTCCCCACTCCCTCATAATCAAACACGGACCTTAGTAGCGCCCCTGAGCCAGCAGTACCGGCTCTCAGTCCGCAGCTGCTCAGACTCATCCAGGAGCTTGGCCCAGGCGTGCTGTCTCTGAAGCCCATGTGTGGCCTCCGTGCAGGACTGTCCTGGGGTCGCAGCTCTGCATGTCACCCACTCCTCAGCAGGAGACTGCCTGTCTACTACCAGCACTCTGAGTTGCTGGCTGTGGATCAGTGGGGGGGAAGGGCCCAGGACCCCCGATGTGCACAGTGCCCTTGTCCTGAGCTTCCATATTGCATTTATTGCCTTATTTCCTCCTGTCAGGGTGTGGGATCAGGCATTCTCCCCCAGGGCAAGGATCCCCTTGAGCAAGTTCTCTAGGAGTTCCCCAGCTGCACTCACTGGAGAGCAGCTCAATAAAACCGTTCACCTCTAAGCACAGATGACACAGAGCCACTGAGCCTCTGCCAGTCAGCACCACGCTTCCAGAGAGACCTGAAGGGGCCCCGAGGGCTGAGGCCAAGGCTTCACAGGATGCAGGAGAGCTGGTGAGCAGTCCTGTCCCTGCATGCAGCTGGGGACTGAGGGTACACTGGTGAGCACCCCTGTTCCTGTTCTTACGATGTGTCCAGGACCACTCACCAGCTTGAGCGAGAACCTTCCTTTCTGAGATCTGCACTTGGAGGTGGATGCAGAGGCCGGCTCAGCTGTGGACAGACAGACGTGTAAGGTTGGAATCTGCTGGCTGGGCAGGGGGCACGGTCTCAAGCCGCAGCATGTCTGGCCCAATGACCCATAGCTCAGGCTCATCCAAGCCTTTCCAGGCAGGATCTCGTGTTATCACCCAAGGTTCTCCTCCTTCCTGCCCCCAGTCCCCAGGACTGAGCCAAGAGCAGTCCCCGAGCACTGCCAGGTGAGGCCCCAACACCAAAAAAACAAATGGGGTGGAGAAATAGTACAGAGCAAAGGACACTTGCTTCGAATAAGGCTGGCCTGGGTTTGATCCCTGGCACTACAGTGGGTCCTGAGCCAGGAGTGATCCGTGAGCCCCAAACCCAAAATAAATACAATGGTGAATTAAGTCTGAATTTTATCGTGATTTAAAGGCTATGGAAAGGACACAGCAGCTCAGGGCCTGGCTTTGAACCAGCACCCACAGATGTGCGGCACGAGTAAAACAAATTCAGCAAGCAGTCTTGGTCTCCTCCCGGAAACACTGTCTATTCTCAGGGGCCTGGGGAGACTGGGGAGAGATACTGGAGTCTCACTCCCAGAATGTCCTTTCTGCTGAGGGGCTTCTCTCTTGGAGCAGAGAGACATGCCCCACTCCTAACCTGTGAAGGCCACAAACCTTTCAGGGGAGAGAGGAAAGAGAGAAGGGGGAGCGAGAGGGGGGAGTGGGGGGGGGAGAGAGAGAGAGAGAGATCATCTGTCTATGTACTATTTTTTTTTTGGTGTGTGTGTGGAGTAGTATTTTGGGCCACACCAGTAGTGTTCAGACACTCCTCTTGGCATTGTGCTCAGGGATCACTCCTGGGGATGCTTGAGATGATCTCATGTGGTGCCAGGGATGCAGTCAGGGTTGTCTGCATGCCAGGTGGCACTGATTGCACTGTGCCATCTCCGGGGCCTCCCAATCATCTTTTTTTTTTTTTTTTTTTTTTTTTTTTTTTGGTTAATGTAGGAGTCCTGCTATTTATTAAGCTGGAATCAATCATCATTATTGACAGTCAAGGCTCAGTCTTTGCCAGGCCAGTTACCTCCCACACTCACTGCTGCCACCTGTAGGTGAGTTAGTGTTACCTCCCAAGTGTAAGGAAGGGAAGGTTCAGGAGCCAGAGCTGGGCTGCCGCTTGCAGGCCACATCAGAAAGGGGGTGCCCACCCGCTTCCCAGAGCCACTCGCCCCTGGACAGAGTACCTTCATAGAGAATTCCCTGATCGCCCCTGGCCTGGAGATAGCCCAGCTTCCAGAGATTTCCATTCTTGTCGGTTAGCAGCGTCCCAGCTGGCAAAGCCTCGAGTGAGGCAGTCACCTGGCTCCGCTTTGGCTTCTGTGGGCTTCGCGAGGTCTGTGGGCTTTGCGTGGATGTCTTTGGACTTTTCCTGGCTGCCTGTGGGCTCTTCCTGGCCACCTGTGGGCTCCTCCGGCTGGTCTGCGTGCTCTGCTGGCTGGTCTGTGGGCTGGCTTTGGGGACGGTGCTTTCGCTTCTGGTGCCTGCAGGGGCTTGTGGCACAGAAACGGAAATGGAACAGTTCAGTGGGGCAGGAGACCACTTAGCACAGCCCCGGGGCTCATTCCTGCATTCACCAAACACTTCCTGTCATTTCTTATAGGGCTCGTCTTGTTTTTCTGGGGGTTGGGCCGCTCAAGCAGTTGGCCCCGGGGGCCACTGGGGCTGCTTGTTCCATTCTCGGGCCTGGTGATGCCATGCTGTGTGGGGGCCAGGTGGTGGGAGCTAAGGCCAGAACACAGGTTCCTGTACACACAGGCATGTGTGCCTGCCCTGGGCCCATGGGGTGGGTTCTTGTGTGACAAAGCTGGGGACCCATACAAGGGACCTAACTGGCAATCTGGACACAGTTAATCAGAAATGTCTGAGATGAGGCAACTCAAAGGAACACAAGAATGACTGGCTGGAGAAGTCAGGGAAGGCTCCCTGGAAGGGAGGGCCATTCCAGGCACCTCCTGCCGGATGAGCAGAAGGTTGCCCAGGGGTGGTGGGTAAAACATTTCAGACAGTCACCCAAGACTTCCTTCTGCAGGACCCGATGATCTGGTGCTTAGTTTGAAGAAATGTGTCCTGAGCTCAGCAAGGTGGCAGGGGAGGCCCCGCCCTAGAGGGGACCCCAGGCTGGCAAGGGAGGGACGAGCACAAGAGAAGACAAGACAGGGGCCCAGGGAAAGTGCCACCTTACTTCATTCATCCCGCTGCCATCTGTCCACAGGACAAGATGAAAAGAGGTGGCAGGGCGTGGAAGACAGCAAGGCCCAACAAGGCCTGGGGGCTGGGGAGAGAGATGGACATGTGGGGTCCTAGCCTCCATCTGATCCTGGCTGGCAGCGGGCACGCAAACATGAGTCCACCTGGCCCCTGTGGCTCTGGGTGTGGGAAGGTGGCAGGAGGGAGTGGAGGGGGGTAAAAAGCAGAACTGAAGCCCCAGGCCTGCTGTGCTGAGAAATTCTACACAGGAAGGGCGGCTGTGAGCAAAAACAGTGGAACCAGGGCAGGTGGAGAGCTCTGACCCAAGTGGGAACAGTGGGAAGGGGGCGGGGTGGGTCAGAGATGCCTGAGCACCAGAATGATGTCCCCTTGTCTCCCAGATCTCACCTCTGGCTTTTCCACAGGGACTCAGGGTGTCTTCAGACCCGGAACTCTCACAGTCTGAGCAGAGCAATGAGGGGCCAGAGGAGACAGAGCTGGACCACCTGATTTTCTTGCTGGCTTCAGAACAGGCCTTTGGCACCTTCCTTGAGCCTACTAGACAAAGGCAGGAGGCAGCAAAGAAGGCCTTTTCCCTGCCATGGACCCACCCACACTCTCAACCAAGCCCTGCCACTCTACCTCCACAGCAGGTGACTCCTTCCTCCCACCTTTTCTTTTCTTTTTTTGCTTTCTGGGTGACACCCGGTGATGCACAGGGGTTACTCCTGGTTCTGCACTCAGGAATTACTCCTGGCAGTGCTTGGGGGACCATATGGGATGCTGGGGATTGAACCCAGGTTGGCCGCGTGCAAGGCAAACGCCCTACCCGCTGTGCTATCACTCCAGCCCCTTAGCTGCTTTTTTTAAAAGAACAAAACCAGATTGGACAAGTTAGCTGGAAATTACGATAAAAGTTTTGCAAAATTTTCATTTTCATTTGGTTCTGGGGACACACCAATGGTGCTCAGTGGTCACTCCTGGCAGGACTCAGGCGACCCTGGGCAGTACTGGGAGCAGAGCCTGGATCAACAGCAGCAAGGCAACCGGCCACTGACAGTGCTCGCAGGGGCTGTGCAGTACTCAGTCCCTGCGTATGTGCTGGGCCCTTTGTGCTCTCGTCTGGCCCAAGCTCCACTAAATAAATCATGAGAGCAAAAAGATGCTAAGAGCTGGGAACACGGAGACTCATCTAGGCCTGGGCTTCCCCACACTCAACACAGCAGGCAGCAGAGGCCTCAGCTCCTCTAGCCCCAAACCCATGAAGCCATGCCGTACCCCTTCCCCCTGCTTCTTACCTCGGAAGGAGGCCAGAGGTGGTCTGACAAAGGCCTCAGCGCCATCGTGCTGTTCTGTTGGTAACAGTTTTCCGCAGTAAGGGCAGAATTTGAATGTCGATTCAATACTTTTGCCACATTCTGGACAGAAGGAGATCATGCTAGAGAACAGACGGGAAGGAGGAGCAGCTGGCGTCACAAGGTCCTGAGCGCGGTCCCTAGCACCCAGAAAATATGAAGAAGTCTGAAATTACAAAGAGGAGGGCTGCAGGGGGTTGGGAGGAATAGGAAGTGAGGAGCAAATAGTTGCAGCGGCCGGGGCAATGGTAGTGGAGTTGGGGCACTTCCTTGCATGAGTCTGACCAGCACCACAGGATCCCAAAGCATGGCAGGGTGTGGCCCTAAAGGTACAAATTCCAGGTCCCATAAAGACGACTCAGGTTCACATCAAACTATTTGTTTTGGGGGCCACACCTGACAGTGCTCAGGACTTCCTTCCTGGCTCGGTGCTCGGCAAGCACTCCTAGCAGGGCTCAAGGGAGTGGGTGCCAGGGGCCAAACCCAAGTTGGATATGCCAGAAGCAAGTACCTTACCCACCCACCGTAAATACCTTTTAAGTGGCAGACAAAATATTGATTTGTTCATTATTCTTTTTAACTTTTTTGGGGGGGCTGGGGAGCCCACACCTGGCAGTGCTCAGAGGGTACTCTGGGCTCTGTCCTCAGGAATTTCTCCCAGTGGACCTTGGGGACCATATGGAGTGTCTGGGATCAACATGGATCAGCCACATGACAGGTCAAAACCCTACCCGCTGTACTACTGCTCCGGCCCCAGGAACAGAATTTTAGGTTAGGGATTGTTATGACGGTATTCATGCCTAGGAGCCCATTTATTTCGATTTCAATGATTGACGTTTCTACTTTTCCCTTTCGTCTTCTCACATGGTGAGTTCTGGGTCTCTTGGGCCTCACATTTTCTCTGCATGCTTCAATGGGTAATACTAGAGTCAGACTTGAGAAAGGGCCAGGCTGAGAAACTGCCCCAGAAGTAACCTCAGAGAAGCGCCTCTCCCACTGCCCCTGTTTCAGGGCGGCCACACTGTGGCACAAAGCGTCTTTTCTGTTTTACACAATTGTGGTATAGAGCGTAGCTAACAGCAAAGACTGCCACCAAGGGTCTCTGAACCTAAAGAAGCATTTGTCTGGTCAGAAAACATAATGTGCTGTGCAGATAAAATGATTTTTTTATGGTTTGTGGACCTCCCCTAGCAGTGCTCTCAAAGTCCCTCCTGGCAGCCCTAGGAGACCCTGTTGGTACTCAGGATTGAACCTGGGGTTCCAGCCCTGCAAAACACGGTACTCCAGTCCTTTCGGTTATCTTGTTGGTCCTAGTGCCGGAATAAACATTGAAATGGCGATTTAGGTCTGGAAATATATTACAGGGCTTAAGGGGCTCGCCTGCCACATGGCTGACCAGATTCGAACCCCTGTACCAAGTATCATCCTCTGAGCGCCATTAGGAGTGATCCCTGAGCAGAGTCAGGAGTAAGCCCTGTGCGCTGCCAGGTAGGGCCCAATTTCTCCCCTCAACAACAACAAAGATCATGAAATCACCAACACTTCTCCCTGTCCCCTTTAGTTCAGGACAAACAGCTCTCCCAACAGAAATGAACTCAAGCTTCCAAACTGCCTATAGGGCACAGCCCTGGAAAGCGGCTCCAGTCTTGGTGATAGTAGAAAAGAAACTGGTATTTGTGTGAAACCACTGATGGGGGGGGGGGGGCGTGTAGGAGAGGAAGAGGGGGTGGGGTGGGGGGCGTGCAGCAGTCTGATTTCACCCAGTTAGTACACTAAGGTTTAGGGAGGTGATTTAAGCTAACGCCAAGTTTGAGACTTTGTGATGATTTTAAGTAGCTCGGCTGGAAGCAGAGTTTCCCCCAGTGCCAAGTGCCTTGGAATATAGATAGTTTCTAGACTATCTAAGCACCTGATCCTGCACACAGAGGGGATAGAGCAGGAACAGAGGCCTAAAAGGGAACACGCTGGAAGAGATGATACCTTTAGGGGATCACAGACTGGCCTTTTGGCTTCAGTGTGCTGCAAAGTCCTCCTTAACAACATCCTGCAAGCAAATAAAGGCGGAAAGGCGGAGAGGCTGACTCAGACCCACTTCACATAGCCATGAAATAAGCTAATGCTTGCCAGGCATTGGCGACCTTGTCAGCCTGTGAGTTCCCCCGTCGTTTAATCATTATTATTATTATTAAACATCTATATGTGAACCCCAGGAGATAAGGCAGCAAATGAAGCACAGCTCCCGTTCTGAGTAAGCTCCCTTTCTGGTCGGAAAAGGAAAGATAATAAATGAATGAATGAGGTCAGAAGGAGGCGGCACAATGTCAAAGACTTGGAGAACAAAGAAAGAGGGGTGTCTCCCAGTGCTGAACTAATTCACATGGCTAGTTCGGAACACCAACTCAAGGCTCTAATCTCCAGGTGAGGGTTTTACACCCATCCACTCAGTCTGTCAATATTTACTGAACATTCGTTCTATAGTGCACTTTCAGTTCTAGAAGTTTCCGGTTCCTGGCACAGTTAAAGGGCTAAAACCTGGAGTACGGGCTGAGGAGTTGCCATGGCCTCCGCCCGACCCCCTAACACAGCGCAGGGCGCAAGTCCGACCCCCTAACTAAAGCCTCGCCTTCCTCGGCGTAGCCTCGCAAACCACGAGATCCTCTCCACGCCCCCCCAATGGCGCCCCCAAACGGCCAAAGCTGGTGGGTCTGGGCCTCGCACCGAGTCCCCCGGGCCCCAGGGCTCCGCCTTCCACCAAAACTCGGGCTGACGTCACAGCGGCGGCTCGGGGACGGAGGGAGGCCTGCCTACTGCTCCTCCTCGCTTGTCCCTCACCTCGGCACCCAGGGATCTGCGGCCGGGCGGAAAGTCGGACTCACCTCTGCGGCCCCGCGGAAACTTCCGCCCGGGCGGACGGCGCTGCGCGCGCATCCCTCTCGCAGCCGGCGCCCGCGCAGTTGATGCCCACCTCCTGGCTGCCTTGGGGCTCTGACTAGCCGGAACTCCATTTCCCAGACGCCCTCGCGGCACCTCTCCGACTCGGAAACACGGGGAGGGATTATTCCCTCACTAACCATCCCGCTTGGAACGCTTCTGAGCCCTATTGCGCATGCGCCGACGGGAGCCAATTGGAAGGAGAGAAGAACGATGGAATTATGCCTCCCGCCAATCGGACTGCGGCCACATTATCCCGCCTCATTCTCCCGCCTCAACCCCGCCTCTCCTTGGGAGCCCAACTCCCCCCTCAACAAGTTTTCTCTAGTGGTCTCCTTTTGATGTGAAAAAGCCTCCCAGCGTCTCTTTTTTTAATCCCCTCTTTGGTTTTAGGACCACACCCGGCGGTGCTCAGGGCTTATTCCTGCCTCTCTGCACTCGGGGAATCACTCCTGGCGGGGATCAGGGAACTCCAGGGTTGCCGGGAATCCACCCCGGGTCTGCCGCGTGCAAAGCAAACTCCCTCCCCGCTGCCCTGTCGCTCTGGCCCAACCTCCCGGTTTTCCTGAAAAGCCAAGAGACGGTCGCCCTTAAGTAAAGTAAAACGCTGGGTCTAGATGCTACGCAGTCCCGGTTCTGGCGCTCAGCTGGGCCGTGAACTGCGGCGCGAGCAGCCTTCGGGAAAGCAGGGCCGCAGACTGCTCTGGGAAGCAGGATCCGGCTGCCGTCGCAGAGGATCTTGGGTAGAGTAACTGAGGTGATGCGCGCGGCACCGGAAGTGGCTGTGAGAGGCTCGTGTGGGAGGCTCGTGTGAGGAGTGGCGTCCCGCCTTCCCTCGAGGCTCGACCTGTGGCTATTAAGACCAGGGACTACAGGCTGCGGGGAGGAGACACCCAGCCTGGGGTCGCTGAGGACTCTGGAGGCAGGGGGTTCGGTTCCATACGTGTGAGGTGAGGGGCTTCTGGGTCCTTCAGCTTGGCAGCGGGTGTCTGGGCCTGGTTCATTGGGAGTGATTTCCACAGTTCGCCACGGCCTTGGTGAGAGCCTTTCGGTGTTGTTTGCGGCAGGGGAACCTGAGGGCAGGATCATGAGTAATGGAATTGGCCTGGTGGTGGGAGCGGGTGGCGTTCACATGCTGTTCTCGCATTTTCTCTGGGCCCCAGACCCCCGAGGGCCACCCCCGCAGTCAGACTTCCCGAGTTTACGAAGGGCAATTGGGGGAGGGGAGCGCCCCGTAGTCGCATTCCCGGGGTGACTTGAAAATTGTTTGGTGGGGACATGCATGAAATATACTCTGGAGGGGTGGCAGCCCGCTCTCGGGACATTGGGGTGGGGTGCCATGGCCTCCGATTTCCGGTCCGGCTGTGGTCTCGCGAGCTTTCAGGAATGGCATGTGGCTGGCGGGCTCCGGGTTCTGTTGTATCTGGTCCTTCACTGTCGTGGCCTGGAGACGGGCACCCCGAGCTGTTTGAATACGCAGAATCTTGGGGTTCATCCGCACTGAGATGTGGGAGCCTAGTGGCCCTAGGTGTCAGGTCTTCACGACGGGGCCGAATTCCACCCCCCCAGGCTTCCTTACTTTCCTCCTGGGGTTGAGTAAGAAGAGAACACTGAAAAAATTCGTGACCTGGACACAGCACAGGTCCCAAACCAAGCTGTTTTCTGCCAGGTACACAGGGGAAAGAATTGTCAGGGTGGTGGGACCCAAGCGGTAGGACGGCTGGTAAAGTGTTTGCCTTGCATGAGGCTGACTAGGATTTGATCCCCAGCACCTTACATAATCCCCGAGGTCTGCCAGGAGTGAGCCCTGAGCACTAAAATTTTGTCAGGGTGCTGCCTGGGGACCATTGAGGAGTTCTTGCTCATCCGAGAGTAACGTTAATTGGTTTTGGGCCACACCTGGCAGTGCTCAGGAGTTACTCTTGGCTCTGCACTCAGAAATCACTTCTGGCGGTGCTCAGGGGACATAATGGGATTCTGGGAATCGAACTTGGGTCAGCCATGTTCAAGGATACATGCCCTGTTCATTGTACTGTAGCTCCACCTTCTACATTCTAATATTGTATACTGTGCTCTAGTTCATGCAGACAAAGGGTAGATGAGTTTTTTTTTTTTGGATCCATACCCATTGGTGCTCAGGTTAATCCTGACTCTGCGGTCAGGAATCATGCCTGGCTGTGCTCCAGGAACCAAATGGGATGCGATGGCGGGAATCAAACCTATATTGACCACGTGTGTGCCAGGCCAGTGCCTTACTCACTGTAGTCTCTCCAGCTTGACGTATCAAAGTAGTACTGAAGACATGATTTTAGACTAGCTTGGACCTGAGGTAGTTTCAATAGATACTGTTGCTGTTCCTGCAGGTAGATTCCAATCTGACAGATCCTCTTGCTTCTGGAAGACATTTTGGAGGCTTGTCCAGTATGTCCAGAGAGTTGGTCCTAGGAGAAAATGGCCTTTCCTGGCTCTGTCATGCATCCTGCATTCCTGCCAACCAGCTCTGTGGAGGGGATAGAGGGGGAGCTTAAACCAGGGGTCAGACTGCTGGGCGCCCATCAGCTATGACAAAGGTGAGTCAAGGGCCCGTCTGGCCTCGTCTCTCCTCTCCAGAGGCTGGGTAGCAGACCTTCCTCAGTTAGGCCTCACTCTTCCAACCTTCTTTTTCTTTTTTTTTTCTTTTTTTTTTTTTAAATTACGGGTCAGGGCCAGAGAGATAACACAGGCGTTTAAGTGCTTATCTTGCAGCCAATCCCTGTTTAAGCATCAGCACTACTTATGGTTCCCCAAGTGTTGCCAGGAGTTACTCCTATGTGCACAGAGATAGGAACTATCTTTTGTTTTGGGCCACACCTGGCAGTGCTCAAGGCTTACTCCTGACTCTCAGGAATTACTCCTGGTTGGCTCAGAGTACTGTACAGACTGTTGGGGATTGAACCCAGTTGACCCCATGAGAACAGTGCAGTCTCCTGCCCACGCACCTGGCTGTCCTCGTGGGGCCCCTTGGAGGGGAGCGGGTTGAGCTTTCCTCCCCGCCCTGACCAGGGCTCCGGCAGCCAAAGACCTCCAGGACCAGCCACCACCATGCTGAGACCACTCTCCGCACACATGAAGGTACTGGCAGAGGGACAAAGCCACGCGGGTTCCAGGGCCTAGATCTCCAAGCCTACTCGGATTGGGGCCGAGCATCCTCCACCCAGATCCTCCAAATTCCAGTAGGCGGGGGTCACACCCACCAACTGGCCCCCTGGCACCGTGTAATCCCATCAACGGCCAAGACTCAGAGACTATAAAAATCAGCTCCCGGAACTGTGCGGCCGCATTTGCAGCCACGCGACATCTTATTATGACATCTTATTATCTCATTCCTACTTTGGACAAACTAGCAGGCTACCGAATGTAGCCTGCCCACACGGCAGAGTCTGGCAAACTCCCCGTGGCGTACCCAATATGCCAAATACCAGTAACAATGATGGGTCTCATTCTCCTAAAGAGCCTTGAATATAATCTCAGGGCTAGGTTGAAGGAGACGTTACTGGAGCCTGCTCGAGGCAATCGACGAATAACAGGATGATTTGTGATCCCATGTAAGGCATATTCCCTTCCTGCTTTACTGTCACTCCAGCCCTGACCTATATTCTTCAACCTCTTTATCTGCTGCTGTCCTGGTCAGGAATCCTTATTACTTACAGGGTTTATATTCTTTTTTTTCTCCATGGGTGGGTTGGAGGATGTGGCGTTTGTTGGTGCTACAGTTTGTAGTTACTTGCTACAGTGCTTGGAAGCTATTCCTGGCAGTGCTCAGGAGACCATACGTAATGCTGGGATGGAATCGGGATTGGCCGCATGTGCTCTCTCTCCAGCCTTTCCTACTTTGCCTTTGAAATCCAGCAGATGTTCTATTCTAATAGATGAGCCCATCTGAAGAGCTAGCGGTCACATGTGGCCACTTGTATCACAATGTTCACATGTATCAGATTGCCACCTTGTACTAACTAGAAAGTATTTTATCAAAATAAAAATGTGGAGGGAGGGCCAAAAGGTAGTTGAGAGGGCTAAATTGTTCGCTTTACATGCAGAGCACCGGTTCATTTTCTGATACAAGATCTCTTGAGCACCTCCAGAAGCACCTGACTTAAAGGTGTCCGGGAGAAGAGGAGTCCTCTGTAACTTATGTGATTGCCCTGTATGTGGTTCCCCTGCCCTCAGCACTGGTAGGTATAGTTCTGGTGGTTTTTGCATCGTGGGAGCTGAGCAGCCCCTGAGCAGGACTGTCAGGCAGCGCACAAAGGAGGAGGAATCCTCCTCTGGCAACAAAGTAGAGTTTGGGAATGTGGCTCAGTAGGAAAGTATATGTTTCACATGTGGGGGATCAGGATTTTGCTTCCCAGCACTGGGAATCAAAGTATAGTGCACCCACGTCAATAATTATTAATAGGGGTTGAAGTTGAGTGATGAATTCACAGAAATTTAAAATTCTTCTTTATAAATACTTGAGTGAATACAGAAGAAAAATTCCAAACTTGATAGATTAAGGATCAGGGTCCCCCCTCAGTGACCTTCATGTGATTTTATGTCCTCTCCAAAACTGATTCTTGCTATAAATATGAGCTGTTGAGTCTCTCATTCTCGAGGTTCTTGTTCTGCTAATGGCCTGAATGATGAATGTAGGACACATTGAATGAGTTTTAGGGCCCCTCTTTGACTCTAACCCTAGAGACCTAAATATGTTGTGTTTCAGGAATTTGTCACTTGACGAACGTGGCCATGGACTTCACCCTGGAAGACTGGGAGAACCTGGGGCTGGACTGTGGGGACCTGTTCTGGGACACAGCCCTGGACAACTACCAGAACCTCTTCCTGCTGAGTGAGTGTCCCAGCGCTGGGGGAAGCGCATTGCCCCATGATGATCATTTGTATACCCGATCACCCACAGAACCAACTCTCAGCTCTTGTGCGTCTCAGAGCCAGCCTGATCCAGCCCAGCCGTGTTCAGCTGACTGATTCTGCCCCCAGAGGACAGTAGCACTGCCTGGCAGTGGTTTTGATTGTCACTACTTGGGTATGTACCGCTGGCATCTAGTGGGTAGAGACAAGAATGCTGCCACACACTGTAGTATACAAGGACAGCATCCCCAAACTGAGCTCCTCCCACCCCCATAGCTCTGAAATCGAGACTCTCGGCCTCTGACCGTACACCGGCCCAAGCTGTACTTTTCATAGAGGGCTTGGCTCAGAGAGTACAGTGGGTATGGGGCTTGGTGGCACTATCCAGCACTGAGGGTGGTCCCTTGAGCTCCCCATCACCCACCGATGCCCCAATAAGAGTGACTTCTGAGTACAGCTGAGTATGTGTTGAAAAACATCAAAAAACAAACTCCAAATTGGTCCTTGAGCTAGGGGGGCTTTAACTTTATTCTTTCTGCCTAGAAAACTTTTCCTTTGCCTGCCTTGGATTCTCCTTTCTTTTCTCGTCCCCCACCTTTCTGGCGTAGGGGGTACACAACCAGAAATGCTCAGAGATTACTCCTGACCCTGCACTCAGGAATTACTTCTGGCAGAGCTCGCGTCCATATGGCATGCTGGGGATCGAACCCAGGTTGGCTATGTGCAAGGAAGTGCCCTCCCCACTGTACTACTTGCTCTGGCATTCCCTTTTTAAAACTTAAAAACTATTTAAGACTGTTTTAATGGCCTTGGTAACATGAGTGCATGCACATGCACACACATTTGACTTGTCCAGCACTCTTTCTCTTCCTGTTTGTAAAGTGTGTGTGTGTGGGGGGGACAGCTTGTGGGCAGGGGCTTTTCACTGTTTTGGCACATTGGAGGGCCGGCGAATAACAGTCACTGTGTGGGTCCCTAGCAGACAGTAGGTCAGTGAATAAATGAAGGAGTAGTAGGACCTGGACCTGTGGTGGGACTTAGCTTTCAGGTTCTCCCTGAAGAAGCCCAACAGGCCCTATTTTGTAGAACTTCTGAAGAAGGTTCACAGAGTCCCATCTCTTTAGCTCATTCATGGATCCCCATGAATGAGCCCAGGCTTGATTGGTGATTAATAGGGCTTGGCATATGGTTTACTCAGGCTAGGTGGTGAGTAAAAGGACACCACAGTCAGCAAAGGCAAAAGACTGTTAGGCGATCTGCCTATTTCTCTTCCTCTAAACTCCTCAGTCCCTTCTTTTACCAAAACAGAAGGATTTCTTTCTAAAACTGAAACAACAAGAGATTGTACACTGGAAACTCTTCATTTGATGTAATTTTGTTGTGTGGGGAATGGTTTTCTCCAGATTCTGCTCCCTCCTACTTGAGGGTCTCAATGTCTTTGCAATTTTTAAACTGAATCTGTAGTAGAAATACATTCACTTTTCATTTTCTGCACGCATCTACAGTCACGCATCACTTAACGTTGGGGATATGTTTTGTAAGGTGCATTGTGGGGAGATTTGGTTGTTTTGTAAACCTGTGAGTTTGATTACAGTAATCCCCTGCACCTGAGGCTGGGTGGTACAGCTGGTACCACTGCACTGGTCAGAATGTGCTGTGTGACACTTAACTCTATATTAGCTTCTGACTGCTATGAGTATTGCATAGTGACTTTATTCTGGAGGTGAGGAGTTGGAAATGGATCTGACTGGGCTAAAACCAGGGTTTTGGTAGAACTTCCTTATGGTGGGCCAGGCACAAGCCTGCATGATCTCTGGGATGCTGACGTGTGGTGACTGGCCTTAACCACCTCAGGTGATAGGTAGGTCAAACTTGATGGAGTGAATTAAGAGGAAGTACAGACTCTCTCAGCTTGATGAGAGCTACTGAAAGCCCCTTGTGCCTCTAGCCCTGTCTAAACCCCAATCACTCTGGATTGTGACTGTGTTCTTCTCTACCGGACCAGGAATCCTGTAAGACTGTGTTCCCAGGAGTAGGCTCTGGATGAAGTGGCCAAAAGGCAGGAGAGTCACAAGCTCTTGCTTGATGGTCCTCCAACCCTCCCCCCCACCCCCACTATTTTATAGCAATGCCATTCTCTCCCTATAGACCCTCCCAGAACCAATATGGTCTCCTATCCACATGGTGGGAAAAAAGAGCCGGAAGCCATGGGAAGAGGAAGCCCAAAAGAAGCTGACTTTGGTGAGTGGATTAGCAAGAGCCGCTAGTGTCCCTCAGGAGGGAACATGGGCCATGGAGTATGGCCCTCTGTCCACAGAAGCCCTGTCCAGACACTGTTGACAGACACCACCTTCTGATCCTAACTTTCTCACTTGATTTTCTCCTGTCCCCTGTGTCAGTACTGCCCACCTGTTCTGTCTCCTCAGTCCATCTAAACTCATGAGTAGATGCCCTCCATTCTCTTGAGTTTGTCTCTACTTTTTACCCTCTGTCCTGAGCACCAGTGTATCCCCAGTGCACATTTTAACTCTACTTCCTAGCTGAAAGGGCCCAGCAGATAGCCACATCCATGAGCTCAAACCCAGGTTTTAATAATGTAAGAATATTTGCACTGCCTTCTCTCAGAGTTTCTAGGGGCATTGAGTTAGGCAGAGAGTACCCTGATTGAGAAATCTTCATTGAGAGAAAGCAGGGGTAGGCACCCTCCCTGATATACTAGGAGGTTTCTTTCTCCCTATCTCTTTTTTTGTTTGTTTTGTTTTGGGCCAAACTCAGCAATATTCAGGGATTACTCCTGGCTCTGCTCTCAGGAATCATTCCTTGAGGGCTTGCAGGACCATATGTGATGATGGGGATTAAACCCAAGTTGGCTGTATGCAAGGCAAGAACCCTCCTTACTGTACTATCTCTCTACCCCTCCTTTTTTTTTGGCTTTTGTACCCCATTTGACTATGGTGAGTGATTACTCCTCCTGACTCTGCTCAGGGGTCACTCCTGATGGGACTTGGGACCATATGTGGTACCAGGAATCAAGCCTGGGTCAGCTGCATACATGGCAAGCAACCAAACCGTAGAAAGCTCTTCCCCTTGAACCTTGCATTTCTCTGGGAAGAAGTCCTTAGCTGATAAAGGTGGTATGAGAGTCTTATTGAGGGGTCCCTACCCCTTGTAGTCCTGATGGTCACACAAATCCCTCTTAATCTGTCTGAAAATGGACTGTTCCTGTGGTGCCAACTCCAGCTCAATTACTACCCTGGTCCCTTTGACAAAAAGGCTAGACCAGGAAGCTCTGTTTGTTCCCCTTTCCTATATTCTCACCCCAGTCCAGTTTCTGTCTTTTTATCCCGGAAGACAAGAGACATTTGTGTTCTCTCTCCCTCCAGACATGGTTGAAGTCAAGAATTTTCCTCTGCCACAGGACTTTGTGGAAGAGGGACACTCTCAAGAGATGGTGGAGACCTTTTCCAAGGACAGTCTGAGGAATGTCAGTTTGGGAGGAGCCCATATAGGTGAGAGCTATTTAGAGGGTCTGCTTGATTCGGAAGTTCTTATGAGGTCTGATGTCACCGACAAGGGAAGTCCTACAGATGGCGAGACACACAGATTCAGAAGCAGCCTTAGTTCCGAGTCCATGCCTTTCACTGGAGAGGAGTTCCTGATTCATGACCTTCCCCCAAAGAAACTGCCAGCAGCTGAGGCCCAGCAACGCAGGGAGGACTCGGGTTGCTGCTTAGACCAGAACCAGCAGGGTGACAGTGTCCAAGGACAGGAACTGTACAAATGCAGTGAATGTGACAAGAGCTTCTGCCGGAGTTATCTCCTTATCCAGCACTGGATTATTCATGCCAGGGAGAAAGCCACAGTTCACCAGGAGAAAGATTGCAGCCAGAATTCATCCCTCCTTACGCCTCCAGTGACACATGCCGGCTCAAAATCTGCTGTGTCTGATAAAGGCAGGGAAATGTCTCATCCGAATATGCGCATTCTGTGGCAACAGAAAATAGACCCTGGAGAAAAACGACAAAAAAGTTCAGAGAGCGGCTGTGAAAGATGCACAGAGCCTGGTGAGTGGCAGGAAAGCAGCCCAGATGGGGAGACTTCTGAAGGTAGTGAGCGGGGCAGGAACTTCAACTGGGCTTTTCATCTTTCTCTGCCTCAGAAGCCCCAGCCTCAGAAACCTCAGGTGCTCCAGTCTCAGAAACCCCAGCCTCAGATACTCCAGCCTCAGAAATGGCAGCCTCAGATGCTCAAGCCTCAGAAACTGCAGCCTCAGAAACCTCAGGTGCTCCAGTCTCAGAAACCCCAGCCTCAGATACTCCAGCCTCAGAAATGGCAGCCTCAGATGCTCAAGCCTCAGAAACCGCAGCCTCAGAAACCTCAGGTGCTCCAGTCTCAGAAACCCCAGCCTCATATACTCCAGCCTCAGATACTCCAACCTCAGATACTCCAGCCTCAGAAATGGCAGCCTCAGATGCCCCAGCCTCAGATGCTCCAGCCTCAGAAACCGCAGCCTCAGATGCCCCAGCCTCAGAAGCCCCGGCCTCAGAAGCCCCAGAAGCACTATCAATGTACCAGGTGCACGGCAGCCTTCAGCTTGAGCAAGCAGCTCCGAGAACATCAGAAGGTTCATGCCACAGACACTGCTTCCGAGTGTCAGGAGTGTGGCCAGACCTTCCGGCGGAGCTTGTCACTCCTCAGACACCAGACTGTGCATACCAAAGAGAAACCTTTCAAGTGTGCCGAGTGTGGAAAACCCTTTAGCCACAGCTCAACGCTGAAGATCCACCAGAGGACTCATAGTGGAGAGAGGCCCTTCCAGTGCAGCGAATGTGGGAAAACCTTCTCCCGGAGCACTCACCTTCATGAACATCAGCGGATCCACACGGGCTACCGACCCCACCAGTGTCCCACGTGCATCAGGAGCTTCAGCCGCCCCTCCCACCTGATTCGGCACCAGACCACTCATGCCACGGAGAAGCCCTACAGCTGTTCCCAGTGTAGTGAAACCTTCAGCCACGGTGGGCATTTTGTTCAGCACCAGAAAATTCATGCCATGGATACCCCCTATGAGTGTCAAGATTGTGGTGAGCGCTTTGTCTGTCACTCAACCCTCGTTTGCCACCAGCTCAGTCACTCCGGAGACAGACAGGGACTCGATGAAAGCAGGGAAGCTTTGACTAGGAACCCAGGCTCCAGAAGGAATTTGAGTCTGGCTGAGAAATGCTTTAAGTGTAAGACATGTGAGCAGAGCTTCAGCAGCAGGAAGCAGCTGGCTCAGCATGAGAGGACCCACCCCAGGGTAAAGCCCTTTAAGTGTCACCAGTGTGAGAGAGCTTTTGGCCAAAGTTCACAGCTCATTCGCCACCAGAGGATTCACTCTGGACAGAAGCCATACCGGTGTGAGGACTGTGGGAAAACCTACATTTACAGCACCTCCCTCGTGAAACATCGGTCCAGCCACACGAATAAGAGCACCCCACCAGAAGTTGGGGAGGCCTTTGAGCAAAGTGCAGGTCTCTCAGAACAGTGGTCAGTGCAGATTCCAGAGAAACCCTTTCAGTGCACCAAATGTGACAGAACCTTTACCTACCGCAGCTGCTTTCTCCAGCATCAGAGCACTCACGCTGGAACGAAGTCTTTCGAGTGTCAGGATTGTGGAAAAATGTTCCACCAGAAATCCTCCCTTACTAAGCATCAGAGAATCCACACGGGGGAGAAGACCCACGTGTGCAGTGAATGTGGGAAAACCTTCAGCCTGGAGGCCCAGCTCCTCCGACACCAGCAAGTCCACACCAGGACCAAGCCTTTCATCTGTCAGGAGTGTGGGAAAGCCTTAAGCCAGAGCTCATGCCTTGCCGTGCACCAGCGACTGCACACAGGTGAGAAGCCCTTCGTCTGTGCTGATTGTGGGAAAGCCTTTGCCCAGAAGGCCAATCTCACTCAGCACAAACGCATACACACGGGAGAGAAGCCTTATGCCTGTGAAGTATGCAACAGAGCCTTTAGCATCAGCTCTCACCTCACTCAGCACCGCAGGATTCACACCCAGGAGAAACCCTACCAGTGCCCACTATGTCAGAAAACCTTCCGGTGCTGCTCAGGACTCCTCAGACATCAGCGGAGTCACACTCCGAAGGAGCACAACTGCCTGTGATCTGGCATCCAAGAAGGTGTTTGAGGTCCAACATGGAGACCGTGACACTAGAAGTTTTCTGCCAAATAAGTCTCTTAATATTGAGTAGGACATTTGCATATCAGTTTCATTAGTACCATGAAAACAAGATTGAGAAACAGCCAGGATTTGGAATAGATATCTACTGTGTCTGCTGAATTAAAGCCTAGTTTTGCCATCTGCTATCCAAGTGGGTCTTGGACCCTCTCAGAATCGTAAGTGTTCTTATCTGTGAAATGGGCATGATGGTAACTACCTCAGAAGGCTGCTGAGCATTAAATAGATGAAAAGCACTTAGAACGAGTGCCTAGCCCATTGTAGAAATTCACTGAGTACAAATTACAAATGTCATTGGATATAATAACAAATACAGCTTTTTCATTTCAAAGGAAGAGAAGTAACAACACATCTAACTACAATTAATGTTCTTTGTTATTATGGCTTGCTATTTTAAGGTTTCCTACAAAGTGCACTTTGCTTTGTTTTGTTTCCAAAGCCTATCGTCTCACTATTTTTTGTCTTGATTTCTGTTTGGAGGCCACATCCAGTCATGCTCAGTTGTTACTCCTGACTTTGCACTCAGTTGTGGCCCGACAAGCTGCAGGGATTGGACCCTGGCTGGCACCAAGGCAAATGAAATACATGGGGTCTCAGGAAACTTTGTTAGGAGAGTGGCAGTGACTTTGCAGCACAGTTACCATCTACAGGAGACATGCTTGGTGAAAATTGGGAATGGTTGCTGGAACATTCTTTCATTTGTCCAATCTGGCTACTCACCAGCTGCTCTGCTAGGCTCTAGAATGGGAAATCCCAAACACCAGGAAATCTGGTTCTGCCTTGAAACTTCTAGAATTAAAGGGAAATGAATGGCTTCATTTTCATAGCATAGTGGACCAATATTTATTGACAGTATTTATTAACACCTTAAAATACTGCATTATTTTTGGTCCCAGAAAGTTTTCCAAGGGTGGTTGGAGAGAGCCTGGTGAGGACGCCGTTTACTGTTATCAACAGTTCCAGTGACTAGGCTGGTTCTATAACTGATCCTCCTTGGGTACCCACACAAGCAGCACCCTCCCAATGGCACCTCACTGCCCACTCAGTGACACATTTGCTGAAGCACAGGAACCCAATGATGACACTGACATTTTAATGATCTTCCAGATTTTGGGTGCTAAAAATGTTTTGGATGTTTGTTTTTTGTTTTTGGACCACCCCAGTGGTGCTCAGGGATCACCCCTAGCAGTCCTTGCAGTGCCAGGGATTGAACCGGGTCAGCCATGTGCAAGGCAAGCGACCTTGCACTGCACAATCACGCTGGCCTCTGAAGACATTTTAGAGTCTGAGTTCTTGGTTTATAAACTTTGCACCTTGGATTCCAATTTTGTTGCTGAAACTTGGAGCACACTGACTGATCTCTGGGCCCACAGTGTGGTGGGGAGCAGGCTGGCTCCGAACATTCCCTCATGTGGCGCAGGCCCTTGGTGACTGGTTATATGTCAGGCTTGTGACGTATCAAAGGATGACAGGGTGAGAATTCATGTTAATATGTTCTGTGAGCGTGTTTTTTTTCCCCCAGAGTGGTCAGAGGCGCTGTGGGAAATCCATAACTCATATATGTGGGCATGTTTGTGTTTTGTGATAAATGTCCTGTGTTATGGGCCGGTGTTGACGTGCCCTTCTGTGTGCCTATTGCTTCTGATTAAAGTTCTGATCCTAAAAGCATTGTTGTTTCTCTCAACCAGACGCTTGGCAGGCGCGGGGTCGGGGAGGCTCATAATGATATAAAGCACCCCCAGCCCTATCCTGAAGTTAGGGTGTGGCTGACCTTCAGGTCATGAAGCCAGGCCTTCTGGATTCCAGGAGAGCGTGAGTAGCATGCTGTCCCCCATACAACAGCAGCAGCTGGAACGGTATTTCCTGGGTATCATGTAGATCCGCACCCCCTAACCCTCCATCCTTTACTGAGAATTGGTACTAGTTCCCCATTCACATAGTGATTGGAAAACCTCTTCACATATCTTGTTTTTTGAGGGGGAGGATGTTTTTCATTTTGGAAGCACCACAGCCAGTGGTGCTTAGGGCTTGCACTTGGCTCTGGGCCCTGGGGGGTCTCAGGGACCGTGTGGGGTGCTAGGAATTGAACCCAGGTGAAGAAGCAAGTCAGGTGCATTACTGTCTCTCCGACCCTCTCTTCAGATGGTCTTGAGCTGAGTAAAAGGAAAGCAGCTTACTTCTAGAGCAAAAGTTCAGAGCTGTATGCAACTGAAGGAAGCGGAGGGGAAGCAATGCTAAGCCTAGTTTCCCTGCCACATACAGTCGGAATGAAGTGATGTAGGTAATGCAGGATTGGGGAGGGAGCGCAAGGGCCTGCTTTGCCCTGGGTTTGATCCCCAGCATGGTGGGGCCCACAGAGCACTGCCAGATGGAACCTAAACCTCCCCAACAGTAAAAGAATAGTGTCCTACCCCACACAGGGAATGTATGATCTTGGTCACTGCTGCGGGAGAGTCCTAAAACCGGGCATTCGCACAACTGAAAGGACTGCTGTGTCCATCCTCTGCCTGGGCAAGACTTGGGTGCTAATGGGCACCTTCATGGCTGATAAGGCACTTCCGAGGACACATTCTGTTGACCCTGGGAAGGACCAGTACCCGTTAATCAAACAGGAATTCCCAGAAGTTAGTCATTTCCAGATGAAAGCAACTGTAGGGTTGCGAGGCACTTGCCTTACACATGAATAACCCTGGTGCAGTTCCCCAGGTACTGTCAGGAGTCAGCCCTGAGCTCTGCCAGGTGCGGTCCCAACCCCCACCCCCAAATAAAATCAGTTCTATGGTTACAAAGACAAATTTAAAATATTAGACTGATTAAATGGTTTTATTAATTTTTTTTTCCATCTGGTGACAAATTCCATTATCTCCCCCCTCCCCTCCCCCAGTGGCCAAATTCAGAGTAATTTAAAAGGATAGGAAGGGGAAAGGGACAGAACGTCTCCTGCAGTATGGGAGGGACCTCTGAACAGGCAACATTTTATATTAAGTCATGCTTGACACATTATGATTTTGTGTTTAGCTCTGGGGCCAGCAGTGCTCAGGGCTTACACCTGGCTCTGCACTCAGGGATCACTCCTGACAGGCTCGAAGGACCACATGGGATGCCAGGGATCAAGCCCAGGTGCAAAGCAAGTACCCTAACCTGCTGTACTATTAGTTGCCTTACCCACTGTACTATTGCTCCACATTCTATAAAAAGATTCAGTGATGGGAATGGAGCGATAGTCCAGAGATTAAGGTGCCAACATTGGTTCCATCCTCAGTACCACATACCACTCAAGCACCCCCCCCAAAAAAAAAAGATTCAGAGCTTGGAGTTGGTGGCTCAAAGTGTAGAACACATGCTTTCCATATGTGAGGCCCTGGGCTCGACTTCTGGCATCACATGCCTATGCCCCTAGCTCTGCTGTGTTGGACCGTTAGCCCCTGACCCCCACAGTATCTGAGCATCACTGCATCACTGCCAGGTGTGGTCCCAACCCCCACCTCCAAATAAAATCAATTCTGTGGTCACAAAGACAAATTTAAAATATTAGACTGTTTGATTAAATACTGAGTCCATCTCCAGGATAAGACCCAACACGGCTGGGGGATGCCACTCACTGGTGGAAGTCTTGCCTTGCATGCATGAGGCCCTGAGTTCAGTACCTGGCACTGCCATGTCCCCAGCGCCACCCTGCATTGCCAGTTGTGATCCCAACACCACCACAGCAAATATTCAAGAGATACACAAGCATAAAGCAAAACGTGGCTGGTACCCTGCACCATGTCACTTCAATCTAGTTAAGGTTGCTTCCTTTCCCCTTGTAAATTCTAGCAATTTAAATAACCCCTGAAAAGAGTAAACCCTGAGAACTGCCCAATGAACCCTCTCCCCCCCCCCCCCCGCAAAAAAAAGCCTCAGGGCCTGCAGAGAGAGTAGGTAGAGCACTGACCTAGTATGTGCCCAACCTGAATTTGTTTCCAGCATCTCATAGGGCCCCTGAGTTCTGCCAGAAGTGATCCCTGAGCACTGCCAGGTGTGGCCCCCAAACAAAACCAATAAAATAATCATGTCATTGTGTTATTCCTAATTCCATTACTCCCCTATTCATTCCAAGGAGAAACTTTAGAAGGAAGCTAAACTCTCCATTTTCCACTTCTGCGAACCCAAAATCTGCTAAAGGTCAGGTGATGACTGAATTGCTGTGTGCTCAGTCGAGCAGGCTCCCCTCATCCACACCCCACCAGCAACCCCAGCACTTCCCATCAAGGCCCCTCTCCCCAGGGAACAGACAGGAATGGCCCCTGGGGCCTGTTCTCTGGAAGAGGGAACCACACTCGCCTGGTCCTCAGCTGTGAGGGGCTCAGTAGCCAGCGCAGGGTTCCAGGCTTGCATCTCCTGAAACAAGTACCAAGGGTAAGTCTGCAGAACTGGAACAGGAGACTAGATGAGGGGAAGTGGGATGTCAAAGCCTCGGGGCAAAAGGAATTTGGAGGCCCCCCCAGTCCATAATCCAACAACTAGCAACCACTCGCAAGGCTCAGCTCACTGCACCCCACAACACCTCTCCACAGAGAATGGTGGGGTATGAGAAATGAAGATCAGAGATACCCCAAGTGTCAGAGCAGGATTCAAACCCAGAAATCTGGCCACAAAACCAAGCCTCCTTTTTAAAGAAATAAAAAGCCTTTTTTATTGTGGGAGATAACTCAGAGGGTTAGCACTTGGGCTTTGCATATAAAAGACACTAGTAAAATCCTCAACACTTCAGACTGTCCTTAGCACTGCAGAGAGTAACCCAAGAGCACAGTATGGGAGTAGCCCCTGAGCATGGCAGATGTGACCCCAAAACTTGAAAGTTAATTATTTATTATTATTGGTTTGGGGGCCACACTTGACAATATTTAGGGCTTACTCCTGGCTCTGCATTCAGGAATTACTCCTGGTGGTGCTTGGGACCATATGGGATGCTGGGGATCAAACCCAGGTCAGCCATGTATAAAGCAAGCACTCTATCCACTGTACTAGCGCTCTGGCTCCGAAAAGTTACTAAATTTAAAAGACAGAAGTGTTTCAGGATAAGTATAAGAGGCTTATGATGATGCTTGTATAACATGTAGCTGTAGCAGCGACCTGGTTGGAGTCGGGTATCACATATGGTACCAAATATGGTGCCAAGATGAATTTTCATCTTCGTTCAGTCTTCCTTAGTGACTCCTGTGCCCTCACCGCAAACAGCCTTATGATCTGAATCCTCGATTAGATTGTAGTAGCTCTCAAAGTAGGTTCAGGGGAGTGGAGCTGTAGTACAGAGGGTAGGGCATTTGCCTTGCATGCAGCCAACCCAAGTTCGATCCCCAGCATTCCATATCGTTCCCCAAGCCCCTCCAGGAGTAATTCCTGAGTGCAGAGCCAGGAGTAACCCTTGTGCATCGCCAGGTGTGACACAAAAAGCAAATGAATATATAGAAGTAGGTTCATGACACAACACAATGTTATCCAAATCCATCTGCTTCCTTCTGACAAACACCTGAAAATAGTTCAGTTAGCAAAAGATTGACATGAAAATGCATTCAAATTCATGTAGGAATGCAGATGGGGAGGGAAATCTGTATTCTTCACTCTGAGGACCCCCAATAATGCCAGCTTTTTCTTTTTATGTTTTTGTTCTTGTTTTTGTATGCACTTAACGGCACTCGACTTACTCCTGGTTTTGTGCTCAGGGAATCACTCCTGGCAGGGCTCAGAGTCCTAAACCGAGCAACTGCGTGTAAGGCAAGTGCCTTGACCACTGTATGATCTTTCTGACCCTTGTTTTGGTTTGTTTTTTTGTTTTGGGGCCACCCCAGCAATTGCTTCTGGTTCTGCACTCAGGGATCGCTGGGCCTCGGGGTGCCGGGAAATAGAACCCTGGTTCTCCACATTCAAGACAAATGCCCTCTCTGCTTGTGTGATTGCTTGGTCCCCTGTTCTTCCTCTTGACAGTTACGAGTGTTTGGCGTCTGCAAGGCAAAGTGAGACCTGGTCCCAACCCATGGGTCCCCTCTCCCACCCCCACCCACAGTCAGGTCAAAAGAACTGAAACCCCTCACTGGGAAGAGGAGACAAAGAGAAATTGTTCCAGACTTTATTAAATTATTAAACTTTTCCTTTCCCCTTACACAACCCCAAACCATCACCCTAGTGGAGCAGGAGTTTCCGGTTCTCTCTATAGGTGATAGCCCTGGTTGGAGAAGGAAAAAAGCCTGGAGATTAGAAAAGGAACTCAGAGCCCTCGGGCTTAAGCCCGCCTCCGGGCACGCCCAGCCAAGCTTCCCTCCAATCACCAGCCTTCCCGGCACTCCGGCCATTCAGCTATAAATAGGGGAAGCAGAAAAAGTGGGGGAGAGAGGGGATGTGAAGAAAGGCAGAAGGAGCTTTAGAGACTCAGAAACTGGGTGAGAGTAAGAGAAGGGAAAGACAAGTGAGAAAGGGATTGGAGCAATAGCACAGCGGGTAGGGCGTTTGTCTTGCACCCGGCTGACCTGGGTTCGATTCCCAGCATCCCATATGGTCCCCCCCTTCCCCCAGCACCGCCAGGAGTAATTCCTGAGTGAAGAGCCAGGAGTAACCCCTGTGCATCGCCTGGTGTGACCCAAAAAGTAAAAACAAAAAAAGATGAGGGAGAGAGAAACATTCTTTTTTAGAAATCGTCTTTGCAGATGTGATGACGACATGGTCCTGGCTAAGACTTTCTCTCCTGCCGGGGCTGAAGCAATAGCACAGCGGGTAGGGCGTTTGCCTTGCATGCTTGCATGCGGTCGACCTGGGTTCAATTCCCACCATCCCATATGGTCCCCTGAGCACTGCCAGGAGTAATTCCTGAGTGCATGAGCCAGGAGTAACCTCTGTGCATCGTTGGGTGTGGCCCAAAAAGCAAAAAAAGCAAAAAACAACAACAAAAAACTTTCTCTCATGAGCATGCCTGCCCCCGCCCCCCCCCCCCGACCCTGCTTGTCCAGTTTACTGTACTGTTCCTTTAAATGAACAACTTGACTATTATACTCTCTCCTGAATTGAATGTTTTTCCAGTGGTGTGCTCCTGGAAGTGCTGTGGTCACTGGCAATAGACCTCCTGAATAGGATGGGGGAGTGGTCTGAGGGGTCATCCCCAGAAATAAAGGCATCAGGCAAAGGAGAGTTGGGGTCGCTGAAGAAGGCAGAGAGGGGAGTGGAGGCCTGAAAGGGAGCCCTGCAGGTGGGGGCCACGAAAAGGTTCACCTCCTAAGTACCATGAAAAGCAAAAGAAAATCAATGTCACGAAGATGATGATGGCAGCAGACCAGGAGTGCACTTTGGAGTGTATGTGTCTACACCAGCACTTTCAAGAAATGCAATATTTTCCCTATTTTTAATGGAGTAAGAGACCCACAACAACAAAAGTGCTGATGCCTCAGGAAAGATATGAGGGGATCCAGAGCAGGGGGGGGGCAGCAGGGGAGTGAACCCCTCTGAAGGGGAGTTCCAGAGGACACAGTGATGGAGGCAGGGCCCCTACCCTTTTTTCTTTTTTTTTTTTTGTTTGCCATGCAGGACTGGCTTCATGCAAGGCCAGTGCCGCCTGCAGCCATACTCTTACTCCGCTCATGCCATTTTTGAGGGGCCCAGTGGGACATTTGGGGACCTCCAGAGAGGGCAGGGGTGACTCACGCAGCTATGATAGCCCCGAAGAGAAAGATAGCCAGGCCCACAGAGATGATGCTGGCCGGCAGCGCCAGGCTCCGCACGGCTCTGCTATCCTGGTACTGCAGGTCCATGCGGGGCTGCCCGTCCACTGCGGCGGGGGAAGACAGCAGGGCCTTCCATGTCACTAGCCTTCAGTGGCCTTGTCCTCACTCTGCCTGCTCTCTGGGGTCCCTCTCTTCCCTCTCCTGGGGTCCCACTGTCCTTTCTCTCATCCTTTCTTAGAGGGGTGGCCACACCTAGCGGTGCTCAGGGGTTACTCCTGGCTCTACACTCGGAAATCAATCCTGGTGGGCTCAGGGGACTATAGGTGGTGACAGAGATCAAACCCACATTGATGTTGGCAAGGCAAGATCCCTACTCACTGTTCTATTGCTCTGGCCCAGAAGACTGGTTTTTTTTTTTTTTTTACACACCCAGCAATGCTCAGGAATCACTCCTGGCAGTATGCAAGTATTGAACCAGGTTGGCCACATGCAAGGCAAATGCCTTACCCCCTGTACTATCTCTCTTTGCCCCCAGGGAGATCTTTTCAAGGAGGTCTCTTAGAGAGCTTGTTGAAATGGGGACCTGAAGGAGTGATGGGAGCAGTGTGAGCCTGAATGAGAACAGCCCGAGAAGAGCGCCAGCGTGGTGGCTTGATGGAGGTTTATCACATCATCCTCCCTGCTAGAAGGACTTATGTCTTTGGCCCAGATCTACTGCAGGAGTCGCTCTTGGCAGGGCTTGGGGGATCATGAATACCAGGGAACAAACCCGGACCTCCTATATGCAATGCATCCGTTTAGTCTATTTAAGCAATCTCCCTGACCCCAGCTAAAAATCCTGAAATCTATGAATGACCATGGGAGTTTAGAAAATTCAACCAGATACTGTGGTTGATAGAAGTGAAGAAAAAAATTTTTCTACAACCATCCATCCTGGTATGACATCCCACCCCCACCCTCCCCACTTAACAGGAGGGAGGAAATGAATTTCTGACTGTGGGAACACTTCTGGACCACACTATAAGCAGGTGAGACCCTTGGGACATGGTGTGTCTGTCCTATCAGTCCCAAGCCCAGAAACTCACCAAAGCAATACTTGGTTTTGATACATTTGGGGCGGCTCTTCTGGCAATGCAAACAGTTCACTACCTCTTCCCTGAGAAACTCTGGAGAAAGTAAAAGGAAGACCGGACAGAGATTAGAAGATTGTCAGAGGCAAAGAGACTAGAGTCCAAGAAACGCTCCCTTGGCCCTTTCGAATTTGCTCAGAGCCAGATATACAAAATACACTGATGGTCACCTTTAGACAATTTCAAATTAAATCACTAAAGAATTGAACCAAATTGCTTTTGTCTCATTCATCCGACATTCCCTGTGTGGACATTTGGGAAGGTGCGGATTTGGGTACCTCACCTAGTGGTGCTCAGGATTTACTCCTGGTTCTATGCTTATGGAACACTCCTGGCAGTGCTTGGGGAATCCTGGGGTGCTGGGAATTGAACCCGGGTCAGCCCTGTGCAAGGTAAATGCCCTCCCTGCTGTACTATTGCTCCTTTCGGGATATAGACTGGTTCTATACTGGCTCACATTTCCCAAAAATACCTTTATTCACTTTTTATTTTGCAGGTTATGACCCATCTCCCTACACCCTAAAAATCAGATGTGGTAGGTTATTGCTTGGGGTTGAGGAGCCCCTGAGTGGAGACAGTATACAGATCTGGGGGGACACCTGGTAAAGAGGCTTCCTACAGGAGGGCAGGAAAAGATGAGGAGTAGGTTGAAAGAAAAAAAAAAGGAATCTGGAACTCACCGCAAATTTTGGGATCGCAGGCTGAAAGAGAAAAGAACCAAGGTGAGTTCAGTTGCTTTGGCAATTTGGGAATTTGATGGGGAAGGCTGAGGAGTAGGGAGAGAAGGGAATGCTGGGGGGGGGGGCGGTTCAGAAATGCTCTGAGCTGGGAGCAGAGGAAGGTGCTAGGAGAGCAGGGGAGAAGGGACACCTGTGACCCAGGGCCAGGAGGCGGGGCTTGGTGGAGAGTCACGATCACCTTTTAATTCATAGGATCTTAAATATTTCTTCAGTTTCTTGACCACTCTCTCCCGAAAGGCCTCCAGCTCCTCCAGCAGAGGCTCATCTGAGGAGAGAGAAGTCTGTGGCATGGGGTCACCCAGCCAGACCATCCTGGAACCACCTTTTTTCCCACCAGGAGTGAAGTCTAAGCACCTTCAGATGTGACCCAATCCCTCCTCCATCCCCGTTATAAAATTAATTCCATTAAAAATTTTTTGTTTGCTTTTTGGGTCACACCCGGCAATGCTCAGGGGTTACTCCTGGCTCTGCACTCAGGTACCACTCCTGGTGGTGCTCCAGGGTGCTCGGGGACCCAATGGGATGCCATGGATCCAACCCAGGTTGGCCGCATGCAAGGCAAAAACGCCCTCCCCGCTTGTACTAATGCTTGTACTAATGCAGTCCCGTTTGATTCTTTTTTAAAATTGAAATTTGCGGGAGGGCCACACCCAGAGACCTCAGACGTCACACGTAGGGGCTCTGGGGATCTTATGGGGTGCCCGGGATCTAGCTATGTAAGCCACGGGTCAGGCAAGTGACCTCCCTCCCTCGGAACTCTCCGCAACCGTGGGTGAGCATTTTCCTGGCTTTTGTGAGGTCAAGTTCCTTGCACCCAAGTCCCCTTTTCCCAGAGGAGAGACTTGACTAGCGTGTTTGCAGGGCGGTGGGGGGTCCCCCCCTCCCGAGATGGGGTGAGGTGCTAGAAACCTCCCTCCCTCCGCGCCTGCCTTTCAGAGTGCTGTGCTGTAAGGAGCTGCTTTGGTTCTTGACAAAGGAGGCCACAACTTGGAGATGATCCACCTCTGCGGGCGAGAGCGGGACAGAACCCCCCAGGAGTCGCTGAAGACCCTCAAGGGATGCCCCCTGGCTCGGCGCCCCGTGTCTGCACATCCCCCGCCCCCGACGCACCCACTTTGCCCACAAACGCGTTGAGCGCATAGTCTCGGAAGAAGGGGCCCTCCATGCCCAGCAGCAGAATGCGCGCGCGGGCTTGCAGGGCCTCCTGGGCGAAGCGCTTGGGAACCAGGGCGTCTCGCAGCTTGCCCAGCACTTCCCGCGCCGCCTCATCGCACTGCAGGCAGCCCCGCACTCCCAGGGCCCCCAGGCCCAGCAGCAACAGCACGGCCCAGACCGCAGGCATGCCGGGCCTTTGTGAAGTCAGCCGGGTGGGGGCTATGCACCCGCTGAGTTCCGGACAGGGTTCTAGAATGCCCGAGTCAATGACAGAAAGAAAGAAAGAGACAGAGAGAGAGAGAGAGAGAGAGAGAGAGAGAGAGAGAGAGAGAGAGAGGGAAGGAAAGAAAGAAAGAAAGGAAGGAAGAAAGGAAGAAAGAAAGAAAGAGAGAGGAGATAGAGAAAAAGGGAAAAAAAGGGAAAAGGGGGGGCTGGAGTGATAGGATAGCGGGTGGGGCATTTGCCTTGCACATGGCCGACCTGAGTTCTATCCCCAGCATCCCATATGGTTCCCCGAGCACTGCCAGGAGTAATTCCTGACTGCATGAGCCAGGAGTAACCCCTGTGCATTGCCGGGTGTGACCCAAAAAAGGAAAAAAAAAAGAGAGAAAAAAAAGGAAGGAAAAAAAGAAAGACAGAGAAAAAGAGAGATAGGAGAGAGGAGAGGAGAGAGAGAAAGAAGATTGGGGTGGTGGGAGGTTTGGAGCCATTGTACAGCGGGGTTGGGCGCTTACCTTGCACTCAGTTGACCCCAGTTTGATTCTTGGCACCCCAAAGAGTCTCCCAAGTATGCCAGGAGTGATCCCTGAGCACAGAACCAGGAGTAAAGCCTGCACACCGCTGGTGTGGCTCAAAAAAATAAAAATCTTTGTGTGGGGGGAGGGTAGAATTCTTTTGGGGAAAGGTAAAGCACTAGCTTGAATTCCACCCACCCTGGTCCCATCTCCAGTTCCACCAGGGGTCACTCCTGAACTTAGAGCCAGGAGTAAGACCTGAATATGGCCAGGTGTAACCCAAATCCCTCACTCTTCCCCACACCAAAAAATGTCTCATGCGGCGAAGGGGTGTTGGTTCACACTCGTTGTGCTGGGGTGAGGGGTACGATTATCCTGTGCCGGTGCTCAGAGGGTTTCCGCCTGGATGAGGAGGGGTGCCGGCGAGTACCCTTACCCGCCGTACTATGGCTCCGGCTTCCTGAGCCTGATATTTTTTCATGTATGTGGCCAGGCATGGTTCTCGAAGCTGAGAGTACCCACGCACCCCGGTCCTTCCCGCCCCGCAGGAAGATGAGGAGCCACCATTTAGAGAGCCCCTCTACGGGGGACCCACCAGGTCCGAGGAGCTGCCGGTGGGGCTGCAGTTCTACCTCTTGGCCGACAGATGTCAGTGAAGCGCCTCCTGTGTGCGGCGCGGGAGGCTCGGCCCTGTTCCGGTACCAGTGACCCTATCCTAGACCAGGGTTGTGTGCAAAAGCAGGCAGATTCGCGGCGGGCCTGCGCGGGGGTGGGGTGGGGGGGCGTGTGTGTGTGTGTGTGTGTGTGTGTGTGTGTGTGTGTGTGTGTGTGTGTGTGTTTGTGTCTAGACATGCAGATGTGTCGCTCACAGAACCTGGAGGCTAAGCGTAGGGGTTCCCCTGTTGTGGTCTGGGACATCACTTATGATGTGTTGGAGTTCGGAATGGAACCTGCGTGTAAGGCATTTCCTTGCCGCAGAGCCCTCCACCCGGGACCTGTGTCTTGTATGGGGTGTGGGGGGCGGGTTTGAAACATCCTGGGTGTTCCTGACTCAGTGCTCAGACCCCAGAGATACTGCTGCTCCTCTGTGGCGCTGGAGATGAAACCAGGGTGGGCTGCACTCAAGGCACGCACCCCTGATGCGTCTCTGGTCCCACTGAGCTCATCGGAGATGTCTAATGGCTTGAGGAATTGGCCAAGGGGGAGCTAGCTGACCTGGCAAGCCCTAAGAAGGCACTTGGGAAGAGCTGAAAATGAACCTCCCCTCCAGGCAGGGAGGACAGCAAGATTGGGGGCAGGGAATTCTTATAGAATTAGGGAATGGAACAAGGGCTTGGGGGCCCCTCCCCTCATCTTCCTTCGGGAGCTGGAAAAAATTATTTTCTTGGTGCACATCAGAAAATTTTACCCATAGGACAACATTCCTGGGTTAGGCCGAAAGCAGAAAGGATGGGGTGGAATCATGGTCTGATCTCTCGTCCCTCCTCTCTCTTTCTTTCTTTCTTTCTTTCTTTCTTTCTTTCTTCCTTCCTTCCTTCCTTCTTTCTCTTTCTTTCTTTCTTTCTTTCTTTCTTTCTTTCTTTCTTTCTTTCTTTCTTTCTCTCTTCCTCTCCCTTCCTTCCTTCCTTCCTTCCTTCCTTCCTTCCTTCCTTCCTTCCTTCCCTTCTTTTTACTTTCTATGGGAGGCCATACCCTGTGGTGCTCAGGGCTTACTCCTGGCTCTGAACTCATGAATTACTCCTGGTGGTGCTTGGGGGACACTATGGGATGCCGAGAATTGAATCCAGGTCAGTCACATGCAAGGCAAGTGCCCTCCCTGCTGTGCGCTCTCTTCAACCCTCTTACTGTCTATTTTAGTACCCATCAAGCACTCTACAAAGGACCCAACTGTGAGTGTATCAGGCTCAGCAACCCAACCTGACTGTAAGTGTATCAGGCTCAGTGAACCGCAGTTTTCTTCCTACCATAGCAAGGAAGCAGCCTAATTGAATGGTTTTATGTCACTTAATCACTTAATCACTTAACTTCCCGTTAGTGGTCGATTTGCTCGAGCGGGCGCCAGTAACGTCTCCATTTGTCCCTGTCGCGTGCTAGTGTAGCCCAATGGCATCTGTTCGCTCTGGGAACATGAAGAGCCTCAAACCGATCGTTCATGATCTTGACGAAGAAGTCTGACCATCTGGTAGGTGGGCGGCCACGTGGTCTTTTGACATCCCGTGGAATCCAGTCAGTAACAGCTCTAGTCCAGCGGTCGTCTTTAAATCTCATTACGTGACCAGCCCATCTGATTTTCGACACCTTGGGAAATGAGACAGCGTCCCTGATTCTTGATCCTCAACGGATGTCGAAACTCCGGATTCTTTCTCTCATTTGAGTGAAACGTGATATTCCAAGCATAGCTCTTTCTATTCTTCTTTGGGAGACCTGAATAGCGTTCTCATCCTGTTTGCGTAGGGCCCAGGTCTTTGAGGCATACGGTAATGCAGGAAGAACAGTGGAATCAAAGAGATGTGCCCGGAGCCGGAGGTTCTTCGTCCTCTTAGCTATTTCTTCAACGTTCTTGAAGGCGTTCCAAGTCGCTCTCTTCCTCCTGTGCAGCTCGGGTGCCAGGTCATTTGTCATGTTGACTTCTCGACCTAGGTACACATAGCTGTTGCATTCGGAGATGGTCGTTCCGTTGAGAGCGAATGGGGCATCAGGAACGAGGCTGTTTCTCATAAACATTGTCTTCGTAAGATTCAGCTGTAGTCCTACCTTTCCACACTCACGGTCAAAGTTGGCCAGCCTTTGTGCCGCTTGGCTGATGTTTGGTGTTATGAAAACAATGTCATCAGCAAAGCGGAGGTGGTGTAGTTGCCGACCATCTATCTTCACTCCCATTCCTTCCCATTCCAGTCGTCGCATGATGTTCTCGAGGGTGGCACTGAAGAGTTTCGGTGAAATGGTATCACCCTGCCGAACCCCTCTCTTGACATCAACGATCACTTTGTAGAATGGTGAGATCCTGGTAGTGAATCCGCAATACAGCTCACGGAGGATCCTGATATATTGGGCTTGAATGCCCTGATTGGCTAGGGCTTCAATGACCGCTTTCATGGTTTTATGTGATTAATGTTATTTGTGGACACTGAGTTGTGAATTTCACATCATTTTCAGGTCGCAGTACTTTCAGTTGTTTTGATGCCACGCCCTGGTACTACTGGGGTTACTTCCGGCACTGTCCTGAAGCTTCTCCTCGTGGTGCCCTGGGACTGAAAGATGCCAAGGCTCAAACTCGGTACTCCTATATGCCAAGCATGGGTTCAGCCTTTTGAGCTCATTTGGGCCCACAAACTATCCTTTGGACTGTGGACAAGCATCCGTAGCTCAGGGACATAGTTTAACATTAACTCGAACTCTTGATCCTACTGGTTTCTACCACAGTGATAATTACAATGGGCAATTATGTTTTCTTCTTTCTCTTTCACTCCCTCTTATATCAACTAATAAATCTCTTAAAGTCAAATCATGTATATTATGTTTATCACCTTGTCCCCAATATCAGAAGACATGACAGGCATTCAATAGATACTGGTCAAGTGACAAAGTCAGTCTCTTTTTCTGAGCCTAGCTGGGACAGTGCTTGCCTTGCATGTGGCCAACCTGGGTTCGATCGCCAGCATCCCACATGGTCCCCTGAGCCTACCAGGAGTAAACCCTGAGCATCACTAGGAGTGGTCCAAAACCCGCTCCCCCCCAAAAGGGGGTAATAGGGCCAGAGATATTGTACAGAAATAGGCTCACCTTTCATGGGGTTAATCCTGGTCCAATTCCCAACACTATAGGGTTCCCTGAGCACTGCCAGTGGTGACTCCTGAGCCCAGAGTCAGGAGTAAGCCCTGAGCACAGCACAGATGAGTGTGCCCCTGCCCACCCTTCCCCCAAAAGGGGAGTAAAATATAACTGCTTTCTCCCAGAGGTGAGATAGCATGAACCGATGTTTGTGCTGTCTGATACATAACCCATATTTCAAAGGTGGAGTTACTGAGATGTTGGACTTTTAATCTGATTTTACTGTAATTCAACTTAAAAGGTTTGAAAGTGGGGACTCAGTTCAGTTACTGGACAACCTTTAGAGGTGTTTGGCTAGCCTGTCTCTGGATCTGGGCTTCCCTGGTTGTAAACATGATAAAATCTGAAGAAAGACCAGATATTTTCAGTGCAAACTTAATGTCCAAATTGATAAATGCTGAGAACATTTCAAAGATGTGGCACCCAAAACCAGTTAAAATATAATGTTAATAATTTTTAATCACTGTCCCATATCATCAGTATAACTGAAACCCTGATGCCTGTTCACCCATTACTTCTCATTTTCTTCTTCCCCCATTGATTCCTTTCCTTTTTTCTCCTCTCTGAATACTGGGGTCAAGGGACATAGACACTCCCTTTAACTACAGTGTATTTCCTCATC